AACTGGCGAACTCCATAAAACACTACATATAAAGCTTACTTGCGAACTCCATAAAACACTACATGTAAAGCTACCCGGAGAACTCCACAAAACACTATATATAAAGCTAACTGACGAACTCCACAAACAATACATATAAACCTTATCAACTGAGTTGTAAAGTACCATATTCATCATTGAAATGAACCAGAAGGTCACCTTTTCATTACCAAAAAACCTGAAGGTCACCTATTCATTACCGAAAAGACGATGAATGTTACCTATTCATAACCGAATTGAACTAAAAAAGTCACCAATTTATCAATGAAATGAACATGAATTAACCTGAAGATCACCTACATTGATAATAATTATCATCGAAATGAAACAGAAAGTCACTTATTCATGACTGAATTAACCTGAATATCTCCTATTTATCATCAGTATGTACCTGAAGATCACTTATTCATCATCAAAATGAACCAGATTTTCACATATTCATCACCGAAATGAACCAGAAATTTCCCTTTCTATTCATTACCAAGATGAACCTAAAGATCACTTTTCTTCATTGAAACGAACCTGAAGGTTACCTTTGCATTATTAAAATGAACCTGAATATCACCTATTTATCACCAACATGAACCTGCAGATGACTTATAAATCACCAAAATGATCCTGAATGTCACCCATTCATAACCGAAATTAACCTGAAGGTCACCTATTCAATCATCACCGAAATGAACCAGAAGTCACCTATTCATTCATCACCAACACGAACCAGAAGGTCACCTATTCATTAATCACCAACATGAACCAGAAGGTCACCTTTTCATTATTGAAATGAACCTGAAGGTCACCTTTTTCATTACTAAAATGACCCACCTGAAGGTCAACTTTTCATTATTGAAATGAACCTGAAGGCCACATATTCATCACAGAAATAAACATGAAGGTCGACTATTCGTCATAGAGATTAATTGTGCAGTCAATTGTTTATCATTGACATGAACTTAGACAGCTATTGATCACTTAGAGGACCAACAAGGTGACCTATTCATCATTGTTATAAATCGTAAGGTCGCCTACTAAAATGTCACCTATTGAAATGAACCTACAGTAATTATTATCTTAATTCTTTGTTAAGCAGTGGTTATTATTCTGATGTTAAGCTCTCAATATTCCTTTTTGCAACTAAGAAACACTCCGATATTTGATTCTTCATTTAACTTGAAGACGCTTTCTACAAAAATGTTCAGTGTACCATAAAAGTATTATCATACTTTGAATACAAAGGTGCACAAAAAATAATATCATTCCATTTCCGTATAAAACACTACAAGCCTTTAACTGAATAGTTCGGGTCCTCTCCGTCCTCAATATTTGTAGTCATCGTAGAGCAGTGGAATATACAATATAACGACTGAATTAATTTGGTTAACAAGCATAATGAAGTTTGTTGCACTTACGTCTTTGAGTCTAAAAGTACTTCCATCACATCCCTTTGTCTGGATGTTGTTTAAACTATTGCCCGAAGATGATTTTACTGAAAATGACGTGATTGTGTTGATTTTAGACTTAATTAAGCTAGAAAATTAAAGAATGTCTGGAGTTATCAGAGAGGATATAAAGTATAGTATAACCATTATTACAAGGTCGTTAGGTTTAATGTTACATTTTCTGTAAGTTCAAAAGAAAAATTATAAATTACAAAACTAAAATCAGATTACATAATAACATCAGGTTCCACTCAACAAGCTTCCATAAGAAGAATAATTGTCACTTAAGCAGCATTTTAAATAATAAACAGCCAGAGACATATGCTACTATTGTATTATTATATTTGTCCCTGGAAAAGCATATAATTTCTAGAGATGTAAATTTTGATAATTGATATTTAACTACTTTTTAAGGTTCATGACAAAATGTGTCAATTAAAAAATATGGTTATGCAATAGTACGTTAATATCAACTCCACTTTTCATATAATATAGGGCACATCACTAGAACAATAAAAATTAAACTGTCAAAATTAAACTTATCCTGTGTTTTATGGGGAAAATGTGAGCTTTAAATTGATTGATACCCATAAATCTAATAAAAGAGGACACACTTAAATATCTCATGGAATAAATGCTATATTGAAAGTCTATGAGATCATCAGCAAGGTATACTCGTATAAAATCTTGGATACAATATTTTAGGTCCCAGATAAAATTTACAATGGGGCATTGCAATCATATGAAAGATTAATTATGAAACCTACCTAATTGATTATCAATGTTAAACATACAAGTCATGGAAATTAATTGCTGCTAGATGGACAGGCACATCTTTAGTACAAGAATATAGACGAAATTTAGTTGAATAATGACAAGAGGATACTGATAAACTTTAATAGCTTAACATTGCTCAATGAACCATAAAAATGAGGTCAAAATCAACAATTCCAGACAGAATCTAAATCAGACATACATTCATGCCATACTAGATTCTAAAACCCAAATAAAGTTGACTTTTGTCTGGTAGTAATTGCCAGAGATACTATAACCTAATTATGAAACTTAATGTTGATCTTAAACCTGCAGTAGAGGCCAAAAATATCATGTATCACTAACATGGTTCCTATGCATAACTATGACTAAATAAGGAAAAATGCTCCACAGGAATAATCATGTGGTAAACCAAAATTATGGTAGAGAGAGCAAGAGAGTATTAATTAATGAACTCTGATGCCAGGGCTTAATAATTAAAAGGCTTATGTATGTATACATCTCATATATCCCAGTGAACTTGATGTTAAAGATACAACTGCAACCAGATCTGCTTCATAATTGGATCTTGAAATTGACACAGATTGACAAATTCACACCAAGATTTATGACAAACCTGACTGTTTAAGTTTTGATATGTTGAATTTATGCAAGTTCATATTAAACAGACTTCATTAACAGAGGTGCATTTATAAAGCGAAAAATACTCAAGCAGGGTTATGAGGAAGAATGGCTGTAATCAACACTAAGTAAGTTAAAAGGTCACAATAACTAATTGGTTTACCGATATGATGTGTCCGAGTCTTAATTCACAAGAGACAGGTTTTGCGTTCTTAGATCTTCAGATACCAGAATAGACGCCTGATTTGTAAAGTACAAATTGTGTCCTATTTCCAATCATATTTTGCTAAAGTCTGGACTAGCATGGTGGGTGATTCAGACATAAGAGACGCTTACCCTGTCAATGCACTAGGTCTTTCACCTTATGGGGTTCATGTGATTCCCTCAGTTGTTTTGTATATTCCAAATGGATTTACAAGATTTGAACATCAATTTTGTTACATTTTCTATGTCAAGGGCATATGCCATATGTTTCACACACATTTATATGTCATAACTAATCATCATACCAAAATTTATTTACCTATGATAAATAGTTACTCATGAACAGATCTAATCCTGAAAACTTAAACCTGGTAACAGGGGCCTGAAAATGATGTCAAACATATATGATATGTCAGAGCCATTTCATTTTCATAACCTATCACATACCAAATACTGTTACCATCTGATTTTCATGCATGGTTACTGTTGCACAGATCCATTTCTGAAAATTCAACCTGACCGCAGGTGTAAAAATAAAATAAAAATCATAAAACATTTTCAGAACAAATCCTCATACCAAACAATGTCAATGTATCATGCATGGTTACTGAGGTACTGAGGTATTTTCCTGCATGCTCAGTTGAGTAGCAGCAAATACCAATTTTGACCAAGCTGGGGATCAAACCCATGACCTCCCACACTTGAGGAGAACATATTACCATGTGAACTAGAGGTAGTTCAACGCTATATCTTACACATGTCAGACATACATGTACTTTTCTTAACTGTTGATTCAGTAAGAAAATGAACTCAAGGTCAAATAACAATGCCCGATTGACAAGGCCTTATTATGAAAAACCTTCATATAATTTTTTGTTATCCTTGGTGAAAGTTAAGATCAGATTGATTGATTGTTGGTTGCTCTACGTCCAGTGGCAAATATTTCATGGATTTTCAGGACGAGAACAAATTAACAATAAATACAATAGGTAGGTCCGGTAATACAGGCCATCTGGGATGAAGGTCGAGAAAATTTGGACTGCCATGGGGTATATTGGATACGGACAGAAATTTAACCTTACAATAGGCCACATTAAGAATTCTAAACGTGCGTTGAGCATGGCACTCTCTTTACACGAGGCCTCAGATTTAACGTCACCATTCTGACCAAAGGTGGCTTCGTACTTATATATCCTGCACAGCCAAACAGACTTATTTCTATTCCCCAGTCACCCTTGGGGGGTTAAGATCAGATATTAAGGTACAAATGTACTAGCTAACTGTTCATGTCCCAATTGTTGTTGTTTGAGAAAAGTATTTTGTGACTTTCCTCCAAGACGACACAACACAAGAGTTATGCAGACCTTTAAATGATTTTCAAGTAATAAATGTAACTATTTCTTAGTTGTTGCTTTTTCAAAGGGATGCTTACTACATGAATCTTGGTTAACAAATTCTTCTTTAACCTTTAATCTAAATGACTTTTAATATCTTATACTTGTGCTCTACAATGTTTACAATGGGTAAGGGTGTAGTGAACAAAAGATATTTTAATTATTGATATTGTCGTAACCACTTTCCCGTCCTCTTTTCCTCAAATGTGACAACCCTGAATTAGACTTATCATCAAGTTTGTAGGTACATGAGCAACAAGATGGGTGCCACATGTGGAGCAGCATCCGCTTACCCTTCCTAAGCACCTGAGATCACCCTGTTTTTGGTGGGGTAAGTGTTGCTCGGTCTTTGGTTTTCTATGTTTTGTTTTGTATACTGTTGTTTGTCTTTTGGTCAGTTTTCTTTTTTTGCTATGCTTTGTCAGTTTGTCAATGAGTTTGAATATTCCTTTGGTATCCATTGCCTCTCTTTTAAAGTTTGGTTCCAGTTGAACTTGTTAACCAATGACATAGATAGAAACTAGACATACAAAATTATAATTTTTATTATCATGTACCAAACTTTTTCTCCTTCAGTGTGGGAGGTAATGATTCAGTCAATGTTAATGGTGTTTTCTCTACAGCCACTAACCAATTATCCTTTATTGCCTCTAAATGTAACAAAAACTGAAAAGAAATAAACACATTCATTTATAGTTGATTCTTTAACATGATGGCATAATCAGTTTTAAACAGATGACAGTATATATATAATCAAAGCATCATCGATGTTGTGATCCAGCCATATTCATAGCTAGTCTGATATTCTTTCTGACCAAATTTTTTTCAATATTTTTTTCTCTTTTCATTTCCAATCTTACTGTAAAATTTCTATGTTATTGTCCAAAAGTAAGGAATTTTGCAATATTGATGCAAATATTGATATATATATATTGATATTTCAATTTTAGACTCTGTCAGATTTTTTTGTTTAAATATTTGCAATTTAATGGTATTGACAAGAATGGAAAGGGAAATCGCCAAACAAGCAATATATTTTTTTATATGCCATTAATAATAACTGGCTTAATAATTTCCAGAAAGAGGCCTTGAAAATGCACTTTCTCAACAACAAAAATTAAAAAAATAATAACTATTTTTTTTATCTAAATTGGTGTTCATTCTCTATTAAGAAAAAATACATTTCCTGTATTCAAATTTAAATGTACAAATACCTAATGCTAAATAGCAATATAATGGGATATAAATGTAGAACAAACAAATAAATATTATTGCAGAAAATACTCAGGTTAGAGTTATGCAATTTTCTTTATTGTTTCAACCAAATTTCTGATAATTGAATTTGTAACTAATTAATTAGAACTTGATTATTGACTTATGTCAGATGATAATGACACTGATTTTACAAGTGAAATAAAATTTGCTTGCATTTTTTATACATATTTTTTAATTTTTTGTCTTTTCTTTGAAAAAAACTTACATCTGATTAATCATTCAGCTAGCTAGCAAAGTTAACAGAATATTTCAATGTAGTGTAGATCAAAATAAATAATACATTTGTAGGTTTACTATTGAGGTCAAGAATGCGTGTATTCAGTTAGGTGTGTAATAAATTGTGTCTATTTAATTATGTAACAGGTCATGATATATTAACTGTGGTGAATTAAGCCTGGGGTCGTTTCCAATTAATACTTACACAGTTGAGTGTAATTATTTAAAAATCATGACAGTTGATAATCATACTGACTCTTACTTGGCTCTGGGAACAGTATATCTAACGGGAAATGAATCTGATACGCTTTTCAGTATGAAATTGATAAAATCTCGGACTCCCAGAGACTTCCCGAGATTTACGGATATTGGTAGCGTCTGACTGAAAAACTATCAGAACTGCTCAACAAATAAACCACATAACTCTAATTGTAAATAAATACAAGTTTTATCATTTAGTAGATATATTTTGTCATATAAAATTACCAAAATAAGTTTGATTTATTTGTTGTGAAGTGTTTTATAATAGTTTGGGAATTTGTAAATCATCGCGGCAATGGCCGCCATTTTTTTATTACCTGGTTTGCATTCTGCACAATTCTGTGATGAAATGCTTGCGATTTTAACAAATTTGAAGTGACAGAATACAAGTTTGATACACTAGCATCACTATAAAACTAGTTTGAATGACATTTTATTGATAATATCAGAAATTATTAGGATAATAGCGAGTCCGTTTTTAACACATGTCCGTTTCTGTTTCGTATCTTTATTAACTATGGCACGACGATAAAATCGACAACAATCAGGTAGTGTCAAGTCCCGTCAATATATATGTTCCTGCTTGGCTATGGAAAGAATTGGAGTAATACCATTTCAAAAAAGTGTGGGAATCAACTTAGATATATTAATACACATGTTGACCCAAATTTCATTGAACAATAACTTACACAAGCATACTAAGATACTAATATAATACTTTCAAAAATCTTATCAACTGATTCAATTGATGTACAAATACTTTTTCAAATTAATTCATAAATGATAGCAAATCATTATAAATTTTGATTTACAAAGGAACTATATGCAAGTGTATATCTAAAATGAAAGGGTTGTTCGACCAATCTTTTCTTAATTTAAGGGCAAATAACATGTCAAAAATTGGCAGTTGATGATTAAAATTGTGTAGAAAGTTTCTGCAAGTCATAAAAACACATAATTATTTTCATGAAATGTCTTCAACTATGTATTCTGCACTATCTCCAAAACCAGAGTGATCGCATAGATCCAGCATGGCTGAATTAAAAATATTACTTAAGCATGTGTGACAATTAAAACATTATTTTGACAAGATGAGCAATGGGTTAGTTTAACAGGATTTATTGCACCTGTCAAAATATTTCAACATTTTGATGGCAGTAAGAAGTTAGATAAATCACCAACATTACACAAGTTAGCACATACTAGTTCAGATGGACCTTACCATTTATGCAAATGACTAAAATAAGTCTTGAAACCCTATCCCTACTGGTCACAATCTTGGTGGTCTGCTGACCTATGAAGGCTGTGTAGATGTTCCGGACCATATGAGTATTTGGACCATACGCGTATGGTCATGACCATATGCGTATATACTCATATGGTCCAACCATACGCGTATGGTCTGGGTGTTTAATATGATGGACGTTGCCAATTAAGAGTTTTTGATTGTAACTTATTACATCAAATGGCAATCATTGTTACATGATCAATGAAATAAAGTTAATTTTACTCAGATTAAAATTTAAGTTAAAGCATTTTTACATGGTCATTTTCGACTTGTCCTTACGAAACACAATATGTGTCGATTTTGACATTGGCATATAACTTCAAGAAATATTTAAATGTACCGTTTAATAAGAAGTCAACTGTTTAACTCACAGGTACTTGGGCAATGCACCCTCACCTTTTTTTTAAACTTTATTTTGATGTTTTAATTTGATTTTAGTACAGCCTGATATTTTGTTTTAGTATCTAAAATTATTTTTTAGTTATTTAATGATCTTTAATTTGTTCATGCTCCTATTTATACAATCACAGTGGTGTAAACGTGCTATCCCTTAATGTTTTTTATGTATGAACTACTGTTATTGTAAGATCGTGTGAACAGGAACAAAACACATCAATTAAGTGAAAATAGGTAAAATTTAGAAGAATTAAAAAAGATTAAAGTATCTAAATACCGGGGAAAGAAGAAAAAAAGCCATTTTGAATATATTCGAAAAATACCTATATGGTCTAAATACTCATATGGTCCAGCTCGTTAATATCCAAACAAGTATAAACTCATATGGTCCGACCATACTCATAACAATAACTAAGCCCTTTTGCTTTGAGATATATTCATGTTTCACAGTATTCATGAGATATCTTAATGTACATAATGCATATCTATTGTTTTAGATGTGAAATGCTGTAGATGATGGTATTTGATCCTGATTAATCACCTTATATTTACTACTGATGTGAAATGATATAGATGATGGTATTTGATAATGATTATTTACATTGTATTTACTACTGATGTGAAATGCTGTAGATGATGGTATTTGATCCAGATTATTTACCTTGTATTTACTACTGATGTGAAATGCTGTAGATGATGGTATTTGACCCTGATTAATAACCTTGTATTTACTACTGATGTGAAATGATATAGATGATGGTATTTGATCCAGATTATTTACCTTGTATTTACTACTGATGTGAAATGCTGTAGATGATGGTATTTGATCCTGATTAATTACCTTGTATTTACTACTGATGTGAAATGATATAGATGATGGTATTTGATTCTGATTAATTACCTTGTATTAACTACTGATGTGAAATGCTGTAGATGATGGTATTTGATTCTGATTAATTACCTTGTATTTACTACTGATGTGAAATGCTGTAGATGATGGTATTTGATCCTGATTATTTACCTTGTATGAACTACTGATGTGAAATGCTGTAGATGATGGTATTTGATTCTGATTATTCACCTTGTATTAACTACTGATGTGAAATGCTGTAGATGATGGTATTTGATTCTGATTATTTACCTTGTATTAACTACTGATGTGAAAGGCTGTAGATGATGGTATTTGATCCTGATTAATTACCTTGTATTTACTACTGATGTGAAATGCTGTAGATGATGGTATTTGACCCTGATTATTTACCTTGTATGAACTACTGATGTGAAATGCTGTAGATGATGGTATTTGATCCTGATTATTTACCTTGTATGAACTACTGATGTGAAATGCTGTAGATGATGGTATTTGATCCCGATTAATTACCTTGTATTTACTACTGATGTGAAATGCTGTAGATGATGGTATTTGATTCTGATTAATTACCTTATATTTACTACTGATGTGAAATGCTATAGATGATGGTATTTGATCCTGATTATTTACCTTGTATTTACTACTGATGTGAAATGCTGTAGATGATGGTATTTGATCCTGATTATTTACCTTATATTTACTACTGATGTGAAAGGCTGTAGATGATGGTATTTGATCCTGATTTTTGACTTGTATTTACTACTGATGTGAAAGGCTGTAGATGATGGTATTTGATCCTGATTATTTACCTTGTATTTACTACTGATGTGAAATGCTGTAGATGATGGTATTTGATCCTGATTATTTACCTTATATTTACTACTGATGTGAAATGCTGTAGATGATGGTATTTGATCCTGATTATTTACCTTCTATTTACTACTGATGTGAAATGCTGTAGATGATGGTATTTGATCTAGATTATTTACCTTCTATTTATTACTGATGTGAAATGCTGTAGATGATGGTATTTGATCCTGATTATTTATCTTGTATTTACTACTGATGTGAAATGCTGTAGATGATGGTATTTGATCCTGATTAATTACCTTGTATTTACTACTGATGTGAAATGCTGTAGATGATGGTATTTGATCCTGATTATTTACCTTGTATTAACTACTGATGTGAAATGCTGTAGATGATGGTATTCGATCCTGATTATTTACCTTATATTTACTACTGATGTGAAATGCTGTAGATGATGGTATTTGATCCTGATTATTTACCTTGTATTTACTACTGATGTGAAATGCTGTAGATGATGGTATTTGATCTAGATTATTTACCTTGTATTTACTACTGATGTAAAATGCTGTAGATGATGGTATTTGATCCTGATTATTTACCTTCTATTAACTACTGATGTGAAATGCTGTAGATGATGGTATTTGATTCTGATTATTTACTTTATATTTACTACTGATGTGAAATGCTGTAGATGATGGTATTTGATCCTGATTAATCACCTTATATTTACTACTGATTTGAAAGGCTGTAGATGATGGTATTTTATCCTGATTATTTACCTTGTATTTACTACTGATATGAAATGCTGTAGATGATGGTATTTGATCCTGATGTTGCCATGTGGAATAACTGAACAAAGGAGCATCTACTCTTGGAAAGTGCTGAAACAATATTTATTGCATGTAATATTATATTCATTGTGTGATATAAATTATATAGAATATTCATGGTTTGCTTTTAATTACTTGATTTGGCATTTTAACTTTTTGATTCGAGCGTCACTGATGTAGATCAGACAATAACATGCATCTGGCTGTAAAAAAATATAAGCCTTGTATCTAATGACTTTTGTACTGAGAATATTCATATTAGAATATTCATTATGTGTTATTAATTACTTAGAATATTAGAATAAAATTTAGAATGGAAATGAGGAATGTGTCATAGAGACAACAACCCGACCAAAGAGCAGAAAACAGCCGAAGGCCACCGAATATTCATTATGTGTTATTAATTACTTAGAATATTTATAGTGTGTTTCAATTACTTAAGACTTTTCATTGTGTGTTATTAATTACTTAGAATATTCATTTTGTGTTATTAATTACTTAGAATATTCATAGTGTGTTATTGGCTAATTAGAATATTCATTGTGTGTTATTAATTACTTAGAATATTCATTGTGTGTTATTAATTACTTAGAATATTCATAGTGTGTAATTGGTTAATTAGAATATTCACTGTGTGTTATTAATTACTTACAATATTCATTGTGTGTTATTAATTACTTAGAATATTCATAGTGTGTTATTGGTTAATTAGAACATTCACTGTGTGTTATCAATTACTTACAATATTCATTGTGTGTTATTTATTACTTGGAATATTCTATGTAATAATAGTTGTAAATAAAATAAATGGTGAATGTGTCCCCATGGACACAGATGATGCCCCCACTTGCATACAACATTATAAAGGGATATAACTCAAGAACGATAAAAGTGACGCTATCCAAATTTGTACTTGAACTGAATTTTGTGGTAAAAAGCATTGTGTATAAGTTTCATAACATTTGGTTGAGGCAACTTAAGTAAGAATTAAAATTGGAGTTACCTTCCTTTTTCCATAATTGTAGTTGGTTAAAATTAATTTTTAAAATTGGAGTTATCTTCCTTTGTCCATAATTGTAGTTGATTCAACTTCAATTATGGACAAAGGAAGATAACTCCAATTTTAAAAATTAACAATTACATCATTGATAGTTTTAGAACAGATATTAGATTCCTATTTTTCCATTTGTAAAGGAGCATAACTCTAGAACTGTTGAAGTGACACCACCAAAATTCAAACTTGATCTGTATTTTGTGGTAATAAGCATTGTGTATAAGTTTAATAACATTTGGTTGAGGCAAACTAATGTTAGAAAACAGAAACAAAAAATTCAGCATTTTTTTCATTTGTAAAGGGGCATTACTCAACAACGGTAAATGTGACACCACCAAAATTCAAACTTGATCTGTGTTTTGTGGTAATAAGCATTTTGTATAAGTTTCATAACATTTGGTCGAAGCAAACTAAAGTTAGAGAACGGAAACCAACTTAGGGACGTACATACGGACGGACATACAGACGGACAAGGGTAAAACTTAATGCCCCCACAGCTACTTCGGGGGCATAAAAATGCATCCGTGGGACTCCAATGCCCAGTTCATATTATCACATTTCCATGTTCAGTGAGCTGCCAAATCTGGGTCTTTGCCATAATTTGGCATACATTTAAAAAAAAGTTTTCATCATAATGAACATGTGTATTAAAGAAGTTTCAAGTTGATTTGACTACAACTTCATTATAAACTACCTTAACTAAAAACTTTAACAGGATATGGGATATGATAAGATAACAGAGGAACAGACAGACTACGGGATGCACAGACCAGATATCATTATAACGCTACTATCCTAGAAGAGGCATTACAATTTTTCTGTCATTTTTGAAAATGTCATTCCAAAAAAAGAAGCATTTCATTTTAGGACCCAGGGGAGAAAAAATATCCATGTAAAATGGACAAAAGGCTTTTGATTTCAGGCAAGTGGTCTTGCATTTGGTTCATCCAAAAGACTTCTCATTTTGTCAAAACTAGCTAAAGCTGGTCTTGTGTTACCAATGAGTAATGCAGAAGTTAAAATTTCACACTGAATTAGAAGTGAACTTGGCAATGATACAACTTGCTGCTTAAGATAAAGTAAAATATGCACCTTGCATTTATGTTGTTACAAATAATTGTACAAATAACAGTCAGTAGCCTATGAAATGGCACAGAAAATGGCATCATGGTAAATCTCCCCCACCCAAACACATTTTTGTTGGGGGAGATCTCCCCTTTGGAGGTTTTGAAAGTTGACACCTATGAAATGAAAAAAATATTAAGCAAATAAGCCATTAATCAGAGCTTGATTTATTTCAGTTTGGGTAACTAAAGATTAATCTTTCAGCCACATATACTTTATATATCAATTGTGTCTACAAATTTTAATTATGCAGGCACAAAAAAGTCTAATTCATTTGTCTGTACAGTGCAGTTACTGTGGATTCATTTATTTTCGTGGGTATCAATGTTCGTGGATAGAGAAAAAAAGACGTTTCGTGGTATACGTAAATTCGTGGATCGCTGATAACAAAAAAAAAAAAATCCGATACGTAATTCGTGGATTTCTTTTTAATTTAGGAGATCATATACCCTCCTCGGTTTGATCAATAATTAAACAAACAAAAAAGAAAGAAAGAATTCATTGAAAAGGTTTTGAATTGTCAAAATCCTCGTTTGGTCATTCTAGGTTAAAGTGTTCATTGAAAACTTCTATTACAATAATGGACAGAGACAACTAATTATTTGTTTGTTTTACAATTTATAAATTCTTGTCGGAATTTTATAAGGCATTTAAAACTCTATGATCGAAAGCTCATTTCCCTAATCACGATATAATATATAAGTATAAGTAAAAGGTGTGAAAATAAATGTTCCTGTCATAAATAATATTACCTACGGGCAATATCCCCGCACCGTTAATCCTATTGATTTTTAATCACCAGTAAACCAAACTATGACACGGTAATTAACAACTTGCATTTATTTTCCATGAACAGTTTAAATCAATTTTAAAAAGTAAATTGTCACTGATATTCGATTAATTTATTATTGATTTTAAAATCAAAATACTTGTATCTTCTTTCAAGAAAAACACGTGTTATGTTACAATGTTTATCGTTAGTCAACACTATACTAGAACTGCATAACATAACTGGAAATAAACATCCGACTCCATACACATTTCTCGGGATTATTCTTCGTTGGATTCTTAAATTCGTGGTTCGCTGTGACCCACGAAACCCACGAAAATTGGTATACCACGAATAAAAATGAATCCACAGTAAATGCTAATTAAAATATAATGATAAGGAGATGTGGTATGAATGCCAACTTCCAAAAAGATGCAAACAACTAAAGGTCACATATGGGCTTCAACAATTATGTTATACCGATAATTTTCATATTAAGTTACTGTGACAACTTACCTGTGATTTATCTAATACACACAGCATCTGCTCATCATGAAATATAATTTTATTATGGTCGTTGGGGTGCTGCTGTATATTTATGATTTTACTATGCCTTGTAAGCCATTGTTTTGGGTACTTCAAACAATGATGTTTACACCATCCTGTATATTCTTCTGTTTCTAAGTTATATTCATAAATCTAAAATAAACAAAATATACATTGTGACTTGGATGGAGAGTTGTCTCATTGGCACTCATACCACATCTTCTTATTTATAAAAACAAGGTAAATAACATAAAAAATTGCTTTTCATAGGATCTATAATCTAATGTAGGAAAAATATGCAAACAAGAATGTGTCCATAGTACATGTATGCCCCACTCGCCCTATCATTTTCTATGTTCAGTGGACCGACGGACGGACAAACATTTCAAAAAACATAATGCCCCACTACTATCGTAGGTGGGGCATAAAAAGTGCAGTCCTCATAAACACATTCTAATACCAGTTATCAGCACAGCAGAGGCTATATGTAACACAGATCAAAAACTGTAGTACACAAATACAAAAACCATTGTATTGCAGTGGCAATATTATGTCACAGCAGTTAAAAATCTGTAGTACACAAATACAAAAACCATTGTATTGCAATGGTAATATTATGTCACTGCAGTTGAAAATCGGCTGCACATGATTAAAAAAAAAACAATTGTTTTGAATGGCCAAAGAGAACACAGATCTCATTGTAGGTGCTGTAGAGATAGCCAGCAGTAGGGTGTAATAAAGACTATTTAATTTGATTTTTTACAATAGAAAAAATAACAGCATAAGTTTCCAAACACCCATTGAACAGATGTTTATAATAACATGCATGAAAAAATATTATCATTGTATATAAAGGGTTGAATCATTTTTTCTTTTGAGTGTGAAAGATCTCTCCTTTTATACTGCATGTTTTGATATCATCAAACAAATTTTGGGTGATAAGACATTGCATGAAAAATGTAACCAAAAAAAATTTGGAAGGAAAAACATGGCATCAAATAAGCAAATTTATAACACTTTACAATCTTGAATGGTCTATTGCAGAAGGTCAGAAACTTTTTGTCGTCTATGTTTGTAGATGTAAAGTAACGCCTGTCTGGCGTACAAAATTTTAAGCCTGGTATCTATGATGAATTCATTTACCGGTACAACCACTGGGTCGATGCCACTGCTGGTGGAGATTTTCCATCCCAGGAATAGATTACCTTAGCTGTATTTGACAAAACCTTTTGAAATTTTGAGTCCTCAATGCTTATCAACTTCATACTTTATTTGGCCTTTTCATTTTTTTCGACTAGAGCATCACTGATGAGTATTTACTAAATCCCTCACCCTGAGATATCCTCATACATGATTATTTTCTTACTTGTATTTTAATTCATTGGGAAAAAGAGAGCCCATTCTTAAGTTATGCCAAATATACAGTATTCCACTGTATGCTTTAGAAGACAGCACTGACTTTCTATATATTGTATTTTTTTTCAAAACACCCCAATTCAGATATCCCTTCTGGTCTCTCTTAGTAAAGAACATTTACCTTTTGGTCTGCATATGCTATCAACAAATTACTTCCATCAGAATTAAAACATATCGCAGTTGCTTGGCAACTATACCTTGGTAATCTGCAGTGAATCTAAAAAAAATACAATGCAAAACAATTAGCTGGCAGGGTAAACACTGAAATACCTTTTTGAAATAATTTCATTTATTTTACATTAACTTATACCATGAATAATTTTGAATAAAAAATAAGATGTTAATCATGTAGAGGAAAATTTTTCAAACCAAGATTTAAAAACATTGTCAGATCAAAATTAAATCTTTCTAATATTTCAAAAAAAATTAATTTGATTTCGTATTTAATACATGTATACAAGTTCATTGGTCAAGATATTCCCTTTACTTACCTGTTGTTTTGCTAAATTAAAGATGAGCATACTTCTAGTATGATCTGCTAAACATACCATTGTGTCATCTGGACTTACACATAACAAATGGACAGAGTCTACATCATCTAGAGGTAAAATATAAGAACTATAGCAATTTCATTTACAGAATTATATACCTACTTTCATGAGGTCTGGAGTTTTAAGCCTGGTATCTCAGATGAGTTTATTATCAATCAATTTCACTTACAGAACCCTTTGCTGTGGAGTCATTTTTATTCATGGGATACTACTTTACTTTTCATAGGTAAAGGTAAACCCCACATTGAAGTATTTTTAATGAAGTACAAATTTATGCAGACTTTGCATACCTGTCAACCTCTGAAAATGAAAATGACAGTATCCTTTAACTTCACTTTCTGCTATATAGATGATGTTCTCTCACTAAATAATTCAAAACTAGGTGACTATATTGAAAGCATCTATCCCATCGAACTTGAGATAAAGGATACAACAGATACAGTTAAGTCTGCCTCATATCTTGACTTACGTCTAGAAATTGACAATGAGTGTTGGTTGAAAACAAAACTTTACGACAAAAGAGATGATTTCAGCTTCCCAGTTGTGAACTTTCCATTTCTATGTAGCAACATTCCAGCAGCGCCTGCATACAGAGTATTATATCTCCCAGTTGATACGATATTCCAGGGCTTGTATTTCCTATCATGATTTCCTTAATAGAGGGTTGCTGCTCACAAGGAAGCTATTAAACCAAGAGTTCCAAGTGGTGATGTTGAAATCATCCCTTTATAAATTTTACGGACGACATCAGGAGTTGGTTGACCTTTATAGAATATCCGTTTCACAGATGATGACAGATATGTTCCAATTGTCATAACTACAATCTTGTCCACTTTCCCCCAAATATGACCTACCTAATTAGACATATCACCAGGTTTTTACTTACATGAGCAACATGACGGGTGCCACATGTGGAGCAGCATCTGCTTACCCTTCTGGAGCACCTAAGATCACAACCAGTTTTTGGTGGTGTTTGTGTTGCTTAGTCTTTGGTTATCTATGTTGTTTTGTGTACTGTTGTTTGTCTGTTTGTCTCTTTCTTTTTTAGCCATGGCGTTGTCAATTAATTTTCGACTTATGAGTTTGAATGTTCCTTTGGTATCCCTCGCCTCTCTTTCAGGTACCTGTCAATAGTTGAATGGTAGAATAATACAAACCTGACAATGGTGGAATGGAAGCTGTAATTACTGCTTCACTGCCTTCAAGACTGATGGCTTGTATTTCTGTGCTGTCAGTCACAGTGATAAGGCTCCGCCCAGCATGATTAAACTGCATTCTATGTGCTGGTGAAAGACTAGATTTACTTTTAACCTTCTTTAATGTAACTTGTGGTGTCATTGCATATTGGTTATCCTGAATTGTAAAAAAATATAACAAATGAAGTAAATGTCAGTTTACAGATTATGTGTTAATTTCAAAATTCTAAAGGAATATGAAGTAACTGTGCACTACAGCATAATTTCATTTATTCACAGGGCCCCTGTGGTCATGTGGTCTTAGTAGTTCACCTTAAGTGATCACTAGCCTGTCAATGCTGAGATTGTGAGTTCAAACCCACTTATGCCAAGGTGCATTTAACTCTGATCTTAATTAACAAGGATTGCTATTTTCCTGCCAAAGGTCTGTGGTTCTCCATCAACAAAAACTGGCTGTCATGATAGAGCGAAGGGTGCTGAAAGTGGCATCAAACACTAACAACCAATCATTCAATCATTTATGTTTATGTACATGATTTTATTCATAAAACCAAAAATGTGTAAAAGTCTGATAACAAAAATAATTGACAAGGGAAATTTTGACTACACCTTTATATTGTTCTGTAGGATATTATGACAACAAACCATAAGTGAAGAGAATATTTATGCATACAAACTACTAATAATTAGTATTTTTGGTATATATGTCATTAATAAAGATGACGACAAATGACTGATAATGAGTATACTTTAACAAACCACTGAAAATGAGTATATTTTGACTACAAACCATTGATAATGAGTTTAATTTGACTACAAACCATTGATAATGAGTATATTTTGACTACAAACAATTTACAATAAGTATTTTGACTACAAACCATTGATAATGAGTATATTTTGACTACAAACCATTGATAATGAGTTGTTTTGACTACAAACAATTTACAATGAGTATTTTGACTACAAACCATTGATAATGAGTATATTTTGACTACAAACCATTGATAATGAGTATATTTTGACTACAAACCATTGATAATGAGTATATTTTGACATCAAACCATTGATAAGGAGTATATTTTGACAACAAACCATTGATAATGAGTATTTTGACTACAAACCATTGATAATGAGTATTTTGACAACAAACCATTGATAATGAGTATTTTGACTACAAACCATTGATAATGAGTATAATTTGACTACAAACCATTGATAATGAGTATTTTGACAACAAACCATTGATAATGAGTATATTTTGACTACAAACCATTGATAAGGAGTATAATTTGACTACAAACCATTGATAATGAGTATTTTGAATACAAACCATTGATAATGAGTATATTTTGACTGTATCTTGATCACTATAAGCCAGATATTCAGCAGTCTTATTTATTGCACAACAAACAATTCTTTCACTATCTTTGGTCTTCAGTTGTAACAATTTGATTGGTTTTGACATCAATGGTAATATTTCACCACTTTTATCTGTAAAAGAAACAGAAAATTTCTGTTTATTTTTCTTAATCATTCATAATTTCAATATCCATAAAACTACATGGCCTTTTTCTTGTAAAGCAGATGTCCGATACTTTACAGGTGCAATATGTGTTGGTTTTTTTTACATGTATTTAATCAACAAAGCTTCAATGTATTATTTCAAATTAAGATTTGTATGTACGGTAAGGCGATATTCTATGTAATACAAATATTTTAGAGATACCTATAAAACCATATGATTGCATATATAATTAGAATTTGTATATAACTAGTAAAGACAGCACAGAACAGAGATTAGTGGAAAGATCTAGTCCTTGCTCTATGTGCCTCTGGGCATAACAAGAATTAGGTAGGTAGGTAGGATATACCTAGCATAGCCAGGATTGCATAAAAATATTCTTTCCTTCAAAAAATTATATAATTCTAATTAGAATACACATGCAATTAAATTTGAAAGAAAGTGACATTTGATAAAAAGCTCTGGTAAATAATAACCGATTTTTGGACTGAAACGGCCATTTTAGTATGAACTGATCTTAAAAGACCGAACAGGCATTTAGTAAGTTATGTCCAGTCTTAAAATCAATTTTCTGACATATCCCTGTTAGGATTACATAAAAGAGGTGATTTCTATATAGGGATACAAGAGACTTTTGTGCCTCTCCTGGTTGCAGTATTATGATATCTGACATAAACAACCTCTCAGAGTTAAATTCTTACAAATCATGATTTTTTAGCAATGAAGTATTATCATCAAAATCTACCTGAATTTTTAGTGGTGTGTCCAAGTTTCCAAACTTCTAAGTAATCTGCATATTGTAACATGACGACTTTGGCCTCAGAAGCTACTTTAACCATGGAATACTGCATAAGATACAAGATATTTATAAGTATAAAATCAAAACAAACGGATTATTACTAAATAACTCAAATAAACAATACAAAAATGTAACATTTACAAAAACAAAAACAATTATTTAACAAAAAAACTAAGTTTGTTGGTTTTTTTACCTTTTTTTCTTGCTTTTCTTAAATGCAAGACAAAATGCCTTCTTCAAATTAATATAAAAATTATGACATTTAGAACAGTAAAAAGAAGAAATGATGCTTAACTCTATTATATATTAATTCATATTCAAAAGAAAAAAGGTATTCATATAAAACCATACATGTAAAATCCACAGCTTTAAGCAAACTATTGATGTTAAGATATATTATGAAATATGAAAAAAGTATTTACAATACTGCTGACTTTTGTTAAGTCAATCTTCACACAAGGAATAGCATTTCAAATTTTGGGTAATATAGGATGGTAGCAGCAATGGCTAGTGGCATTAGTTTTAAGCTGTTCCAAAAAATAATGGTTTGTTTTTCTACTTCTATAAATTATGAATATTCAGTCACGATAATTGTACTAATTTTTACCTGTGAACTTTTGTACAGAAAGGGCTGAGATAGACAAGATTTTTAATTTAGTGATCAGTCTGTGTACTGTGGGTTAATCTAAGATTTATTTAACTAGTTGTACATGGATCATGTGAAAGTGCATACAGGAATTAGTATTAACCCAAATCACTGAATTTATGTCTACTTGTAACTGGGGAGGTGCTAATGTTTTTATTCTACTATCTTGTTCTACTATCAATCTTATGTCAGCTAAGTTCCAGTCAGGTTTCCAAAGCAGATGCAAACATATACTTTAAATATTTGCCATGAAACATGAGGTCTGTCTTGAAATAAATGTTGTGCTATTAAGTGATTGTTTAATACATTTTTGAAAGGGCTATTCTGTATTCAAGAGAAAAAATGAATTGGAGGGTTGGACACCACATGACATTAAATTCAGTGGGAAAAGGGGTAGAAACAAATACAATTCTGTTACAAACAGTGACATATGAAAATGAAAATTATGGGTGGCAGGCTATTAAAAAAGTTATGTTCAACCCCCATTATGTTTTTCCTGGAATAGACCTAATTGAAGACCTCATGTGAAACATGCTATAGTGATCCTGTCACACTTTTAAAAAAACACTGATCTATGAAAAGTTTTAATTAAAATGGATTACATTTTTAGAATAGAAAAGGGAATGGAAACAGAGCGTGTGTCAAAGAGACAACAACCCAATCAAAGAGCAGAAAACAGCCCAAGGCCACCAACGGGTCTTCAATGCAGTGAGAAAATCCTGCACCCAGAGGCTGTTTATCAAACAAAAGAGACAAGGTCTATTGTTTCTTAATTTTCTATTTAAACTGTTGACAAAAATTGACAAAGCAACACATAATATCCATATACTTACACTAGGAAATCCAGGATATTTCCGCCTATGTTTTACACCTTTTATTTCCTTTGCCAGAGCAACAACCAAGTTTGTATCAACACCTAAAACATACAGAAAAGTATGCATATGAAACATGTATATACACTGCTTGGGAAAATTATCCATGTTTCACAATGTGCTAAAATGTACATCTCTGTAACCAACAACCAATCAGAAAACTAAGTTGGTTATTTGAAAACTGGACTATTCAATTAGAAGAAAGCTAGTGACATATTAACAACCTAAGCATATGATTCAAAAGCATTTGTTAATAGATAATGTCTTTCAAGAATGATAAGTATTTTATCTTTTATGTGTGAAGAAGGGAAAGTATTTTTTATGCAATTTAAAAGCCCTTTTAAAAAAGAAAAAAAAAGAAAAGATTAAACAAAAATGTAAAACTTAAAATTTGCCTCAGCATCCTAAATTTGGAGACCGATGTGTATTTAAGAAACTCATATATTCTTGAATAAAATTAAATCTTTGGTATATGTTAGAAAAGACAGCACAAAAAATGCAGCCAAAAAATACAGGATTCAGCAATAGACATTGTAAAGCTCCACTTCAACAGTCTAGACAAGTATCTATTCTATTTCGATCCACGTCAACAGTCTAGAACAGCAGCAAATACATGTAACAGAGACTATAACTGATGTGTTTCAGTAATTTGTACAAACTTACTAACCTCCGGAAACAATTTTATCTCCTGCAACAACCAAATCTCTAACATCATGAGTATGAAAGTGATAAACATCTGATTTGACCCATAACTTCCAATCACTCTCTATATTAGCTGTTGTATATTCAAAGGCTACAATGGATGGATCTACACCAGAAGTATAAACCTTGTTGTCTTCCTAAAAAATAATGAACATTTTCTATGGTTTAAACACAAGAAAAGTTTGTTTTTTTAAATTCCTTTTATTTTGTACTTCAGTTGGCTGACAGGTACTGATATATCATAAAAGTCTTACTTAAAATCACTTAAAATGGTATGTGTTTTGCTCCTAGTTTTAAAGCCATACAGTGACCTATAGTTGCTTACATACACCTCATTAGGTGGATAGCTTTTCATTGGCAATCATACCACATCTCATTTTTATCTCAATCTTGTAATGCTCACAAGAACAAAATAACATTGACTTGAATTCATTCAGTGGTTTTGGTGCAGCTATTTACAGTGTTTGAATCATATATGTATTTGGAATTGAATTTTAATAATTTCAAATTTAAGAATTAATATTAAGGATGCAATATTTTTCTTAGAGATCTAAAGTAACAATAAAGTAGTTACCTCATTCAAAGTTAAACATAGAACATCTGCTTTGTGACTCTGGTATGTCTAAAAAATAAGATAACGATAAAGATTAAACACAATTTTAAGATACACTCATTTCTGGATTTCATTAATAATTTCGAGAAAAGCTTTCACTATTCAACAAAGAAAGATTAAATGATTTTTTCCTTCTATTATGGAATATCAATGGAACATAAAACATTTACAATATTTCAGGCATCAAAAAGTGTGATCTCATGAATTAATTTATATGACTTACCAATTGAAAACATGGGAAATAAATCTATTTCTTACAATAATTTTTTATTACTGAGGATGTCGATAAATTTATATCAAAACTTTTATCAGGTGCTCTACAGACTTCATGTAAATCGGGTAAAGACCTTTGGATACTGACCATCAAAATTTCAGCAGGTCCACCATTTCAATGTTTTGCCTGATCTGATTGTCCAACTGTTTTGTACTGATAGTAGTTTGTTGTGATAGATAATAGTTGGTCAAAACAGAAGGTAGTTAGAAAAGGTTCCCAGTTATATCTGTAATATTTTTCATCAAAATTCCTAACTTTGTAACCGTTAATTTTGTTTGGTGGAGGGGGGGAGTTGACCAATTTGTTATGCAAATTCATGAAATAACTGCATAAGATGGACTTAACTTTCATGCTATCAAGATTTCAGGCAATTTCAAAAACTTCGGTTAATTTTATTTTGGAAGGACCAGCAAACCCCTGCATCCTGTAGGTTTTATGTCTGACAGAAAAATTTTAAGTTTCCTGAACTCTTGATCATTCTACCTTTATTAGTGTTCCTTGCTTTCCATTCCAAAATGATGTCTTTCCCCTGGAATCTCCACTGATTATAGTGAAATCACTACAACAAAAAATTAAACATTTTGTAATACTGAAAATTTTAAAACTTTGAATATTCACCATTACAAATTTTGGTCTTCCTTAATACCTTGAATTATAATTGTTGGTCATTACCAGTCCTAACAAACAAACTTGAATAATCTACCAATATACTCATTTTAGAAACAGATTCATTGTAGTCTTGAGTGGTCCCGTAGTAAAATTTTAAAGATTGACCAAAGACTCACATCTAACAGTTTTTGGGTTTCAACCAAATTTCATCTGGTCCTATTTATAGCTATGTTTTCTCTTGACTGAATACAAAGCAAGACATAAACTCTGATTTTCTGCTTCTCATACCTTGTAACAGCGACACACCAAACAATGGTTTCTTTATTTCTCTCTTGTCTGCCGAGTGTCAGTCGCTGTATAGCATGGCCTGAGTTAATACTCCATATCCTTATATTATCTACCCCACCTGTCACTATTAAATCTTCTGTTTGATGCCATGCTATACTTAATATTCTACCTGGGAAAAAAAAAATGAAGTACCAATAGTTATCTATATCTTTGTAAATTTTAAAATATGTGATGAAGTAAGCATTTTACTGAGCACATTTGGGGATAGTAATCTGTTTTGAACATGTCACCTATTTCATTATTCAACAGTATATGTTTTAATTTGCCAAGCTAAAAAAACTGAGAATTTAAAATAATTTACTTTGAAAGATAATTGAGTTAGACTTCTCATCTTATTTTTATTAATACTTATCTTTTAGAAATGTCTAATCAAGAAATCAAAGAATCTGATTGTTTAGGGGAGATAATGTCTGGGAAACTATGTTCGTAATCAGGGGGAGATAATTAAAATTTACTGCACTGCAAACATTTCTGCATTGTTTTGTGAAATATCAAGAACACAAATACAGGCAGTTTTGTCCCCTGTTTTTGTTTGGGTTCTTTAGTTTCTGTGATAAGTGTTTTGTGGATTGTTGCTTGTCTTTTCATCTTTTTTTCCTTTGACTTATTGTTTTTGATTCCCCCACCATCTTGGGATCTTCTCCTTCTTTACATGTAAATCTATATTCCAATTACTTAGAGATTAATTCCATACCTTCTTGTTTGTCAAATGCCTGGTGATACATTAGTGAATCTTCCTGTGTACTAAACAATACAACACATCCATCCTCTGTTCCTGCCTGTCATCAAAATCAATAAATTATCAATTCAAAAATTTGATTAAATCTTTTATTAACACAACTGCATAATATTAAATTTGAAATTTATGCAAAATTAAAGATAAATGAATATTTATAACAAAAAAATAAAATAGTTCAGGAAATGCATTGAAGATAAAAATTGGAATTTTGCACATAAATAAAATACTCTCAAAATTATGTGACAATAGATCTATCACTAATAATACAATATCAAAATACATACCAGAGTATATCAATAAATTTCTATGTTTTTTTTAGATAATTCAACTCATTGGAGGTATATCTTCATGATGATCTGTTTTAAGGTTCAAAAGACAATAGTTATGGTCCGCACATAAAGGCTTGAAACATTACAAGTATATATTCCTCATCATTATCAGTAATATGTGTAAATGTGGAGGATATACCTGTCTTCAAAATGCATAGAAAAAAAAGGTTGATAGCTTTCTCTAATATAAAGATATTTACAAATATGTTATCTTTTCGAAAGATTAAAAACTTACAGCTAACAACTGTTGAGTCGCACATTTACATAAACACCATATTGGTCCAGCATTTGAAGGCGCCAGTTCCTGTGTAAAGAACAATATTGTAATAACTATGATGACATAAAGGGAAAAAGGGAAATTCTTCATATTATTGTATTAAAAAATCACTTTCCAGACGTTTAAAACACAAGACTTTTTCAGTTTCTAAACTATAAGGTCCCAGGTCAGTAGCAAAATACACATGAAAATGTTTTATACAGATTATCATATGTATCCCAATATCCAACACATCTTTAAATATTATGAGTTTACATTACTGAAATTAATTTTAAAACAGTAAAATACTGACATGAAATATGCAGAATTAATTAAATAACTTTATACCACAAATGAAAAGCTTGAAACAAACAGATTTTGTTTGGTTTTCTATACAAGCATATGACATTATATCACTGCGTGATATGTATAGTGCTGACCCTTATCAAAAGAGTAGGTTCGGTAAGGGCCGATTTCGGCCTCAAATTTCAGGTTCATCTGATGAAAGATTTTGGACACTTTTAATAGACTTAAGTGTCTACTTCAGTCGATTCAATTAGTTTATGTGAAAGATTTGAACTGATTTAGTCATTAAAGACGCTCAAATTCAAGCTTAAATATGAAAAATCTATCAAATATGCCATCATATGTCACTTTTCAGATGGTTTTTGTCAAAAATGAAAGTGGCCGCATCCGTGTTCATTCTCAACCTTTATATATGTTATGTATTATCATTAATTACAACTGACATTTAAATATTAAGAATGAACACAAATGCGGCCACTTCCATTTCAGACGGAAACCGTCTAAAAATTAACCAAAATGCTAAAATTTCGAAGATTTCAGTAATTTGGCATGACTTAATGATGCTTGTTCCCGATACATGTGCATTGTATTGTCAAAAACAGCCCATATTTATGTAACAGAAGTATTCTTCTTTCCAATAAATAGCTAAAAATTTACATTCTAACAATTTTATAAAACTGCTATATTTTGGGGCCAAAAAGGGGTCTTACTGGGCCTACTCCTTTGAATGAAATTTTACTGGTAGCTGATATCAGCCTGCTAGTCATGATAAGCATCATTGAGCATTTTTCAAATCATACCATCAGCCATGTAATAACTATTATGAGTATCATTCGAAAATATGTGTGAAATAAAAACTAAAAAGTACCTTTGGTTTCAATTTCTTTAAGTCATATTCTGTCACATTACCATCTAATCCTGCAGAAAATAACCTTGAACCCTGCCAGCAGATGGCTTCAACTGACCTTGATTCACTACCTGGAATTATCTAAAAGAAAATGAGCATGAAATTATTTTAAAGTTGCAATAACATGAGTACATTTAATACATACTTACAATAATGAAATTTCAAATTCAACTAGAATAAAGTTGTAAGTTCTAATCTGAAGAAAAACATGGTTTCAAACTACGATTTAGCTTTGCAAAAGCTACACCTTGCCAGGAACATGGTATTTGCACTCTACTGGTTCTATCTATTATTCACTATTTTCTACAGTTTTTTCTACAGTTGTTCAAAACAATATAGTTTATCCATGCCACATATATATTCCAGCAGTAATTGTATTGTCTCTCAGTAATTTCTGTCTTTTTGGAATTTTGATACTGACATCTGATCTATGGTTGTCTATTTGCCATGCAGTGCTAGTCTTACTTTACAATCAGGCCACAAGGTGTAGCTTTTTCACACAAAAAGGAGATAAGTGGCATATGAGAATTTATAATTTTAGATGAGAACGTATTTTTAAGGCAACTTGATAGGAAGCTTGTTTATCATGTTAGATTATATTGTGACCTCTACACATGAATAAAAATAGATGTGGTATTCATCAAATGAAAAAGCAACCTATCACCACAACAAGTGTGCACATTTAAATGTGTTGTCTGTAATATTGATTATAATGTAATGATATGTTCTAAGTCTATAAGATCAAGGTCAGATTGCATGTATCTACCTTACAAGGTAGATTTTATAGAAGGCAAATATTACAGATACAAATAACTGTATTGAAGAATGCTTGCAGTAACTCATAGTATTTCATCTGCTGACTCTCTTCTGTATTTCTTGATAGATTTCATACACCAAAGTCATAAAGATTGAAGAAAACATTATCTTGTGCAATTCCAAAAATAAAATTGTGAATGTGTATAGAATTTCAGTAAAGAAAGAGAATACATGAAACATTTTGGTCTTGTTTCTCACTGTAAAGAAGCAAATCTACTTTTAGTCAAAAGAAAAATACAGAAAACTTAACGATTTAAAATTCTATATATAAAGTTTATTGATAAGTCTGTAAAAAAAGTTTGAAGACAATTCATTGACAAGCTTGTAATGCTAAGCATACCCCACTAGAAATTTAAAGTATCATAGGTGTCTGACAGATCTGAAAAGTACTCACACGCTGCTGCATCATCACTGTCAAGCTACTGACCTAATATATTGTCGTTTTGTTCAGTTGTTACTAACAGATAAAGTTATTACAATATAGCCCCCTCCTAGAGTGGGGGTAGAATATAACTACAGAAGATGGGTGTCAAAATTAAAATACTAACATACTTTTTCTTTAATTCCTGTAAGTGGACTTCTACTTCTGTAACAATTCTCTAATTATAAATTAGTGATAAAATCTACTTACAGTTTTAAAAAAATTATGATATTTGTATCCTTGAATATTATAATCACTAAAATGTGACGTCACTAAAAGTGCATTGAATTGAGAATAGACAAGAGCCATAAGAAGATGACCACCAAGATGTCTAGTTTTTGTTGTGTTTTTGTGTTGATATCTTAAATAAGTTAAACTCTGTGATTCTTACTAATTGACTCCTTATGTTATAAATTGTCTGACAGCTAATTAGAGCTGGCTGTCATATCTATTTATAAATATGATGACATCTATTTGTTAATATGAAACAGTCTGTGTGTTTACCTTTTCCTGGTACCAGTCATCTCCAATGCTCCAGATTTCTATTGATGCATCAGATCTAAAGAAAAGAGAACAATAGTATTTGATGTATGTCAAATGCCATACTTAAACTAAAAGCTGAAAACACATTCAATATTTCATTTTTTTTTTTTATTATACTTGGTCTTTTCTTGACTATGGTGGTTTAACGTTCATCGTTTTCCCCTGCATCAGCACACATGGAATATTCACTGTGATTGTCTCTTTTTGAAAAAATGTTTCCATATTTCCCTAAACAAGAATATGTTTTTCCTAAAAACATCACTATGTATCTATATGACCAAAAAGATTAAATAAATAATACCACAAACATGTTCAGAACCAAAGGGTCATCTGGAATTACCTAGATAGCTAAAAACATTTATTGTTTATTCAAATTTTAATACGTTAAATTAATGTGAGCCTTAGACAATTGAAGATATTATTGAGATTGATAAATAAGATATGGTTCTTGTACAAGTTGTAGTAAAGTATTACAATCCAAAATTATTGAGTTTTGTTCATTGTCATATCCATCCTGTTTCATTTTTCACATTGACATGATTGATACACACATAAATTAATTTCTACAGAAAAGTGAAATTGGTCAAATTCTAAGTAGATCTATGATAAGATTTCCAAATTTAGTATGATTTGGTGGAGGCTTACTATACGTTCCTGTCCCCTCTCAGCTGGAGCACAAAAATCTTTGTGTGCAATTACATGTAATATGGTTTATTTTAAAGTTTACATTAACTTACCTAGACACAGCTACTCTGTTTAATTCTTTATTATAATCTATACAATGTATGGCAAGTGGTTGGTAATTAAAAAATCTTATGTGATGTACTCGAAATTCACCCATTTCTTATCTACAAAAATAAAGTTTATCCATTACTTACACGTTTACATAAAAATATCATAGTTACAATGTCCAAATTAACAACCACAATAAGCAAGAGGTGTTCATTTATCATGTCCTTTTTATTATCTTTCTTATATTATTTTTCTATAACTGAAGAATGTCATTCACCTTTGAGCAATAAGTTTTACTACCCATGCTTAACCCTTACCATGCGAGGGCCGTAATATTACGGCCGTACCCAGACCACCGTTATTTGGCACCAATGGCGCTCCATACATTTGGAGGTCAACATAATGCCATTTAATTCGAAATGTATGCATGTTTCCTTAATCTTACACCATTAATTGTCATCTTTCTCACTTTTAATGTTCATTTTGAGCTCAAGTACGAACTTGGAAAATTGAAATCGGACAAAATTGGGTTATTTGGAGGGGTGGGCTTACCTTCGAGGTCTGAAACACGAAGTTGTGAGGCCTGAAACTTGGACAAATAGTGTAAACCCCAAGGCATATAACTACTGATTGTGTCTATTATCAAAATACGCCTAGGCAACGACTACTTCCGGTTGCAGGTCCAGTTAAAGTAAAAAATCCGAAAAAGTCGGAAATTTTTAGAATTTTGGTGCAAATGACCTTTTTTAGACTGGTGTACCCAGATCAGTTTCACTCCGACCTAACAACTGTTGTGATTAATGTGTTCACTGGGGTCCACCCTACATGCAAACTACAGTTGGATGCATCTATTAGCATCCCTCGGACTTCCAAGTCGAGAAAAAGAACGTAAAAACGTCAAAATTGACGCCTTTTGCACCTGAGGACCACATTTGGGGCAAATTCCCGCCCACCCTCCCCCGCCTCCTCACGCCGACCACCCCACCCCGTGATCCCCTATCTTAGATTTAATGCAATCAATATGCATCAGCATCAGGGTACAGCTCATTTGCATATAATTTGCATATTTTTGCAAATAATCGAAAATTAGACAATTTCTGAAAACAATTCAGCATGGTAAGGGTTAATAAGTTGCTGATTTTACTAGTCTAGTTTACCGACAACATGTGCATACAGTTTGACAGGTTAACCAAGGTCTGTACACTCAGCATTTAGAAACAGTATTTTTCTACTATTGCAGCATTAAGAAAATGCATAAAAACAACATACAACTACAAAACTTTGGTCAGAAAGAAAAGCACCCTTTTTAGTCTTTTCAAAAGTCTTTCTTTACTTTTTCCAATGTCTGAAACAGTGAAAATATATGCACAGAACCCTTTTTAAATTTACTCTCGCATACATGCGCACACCCAAAGAGGGAGAATCGTCAACCTGTTGATAGTGGTCACTTGATGTAGAATTAGAAAAGTGTAACGTCCAACAGCAAATATTTAAAGCATATTCAAGGCAATAAAAATTTGGGTGGAAGCGAATTGAGGTTGCAAATATACACTTATGTTTTTAATTTTAGGTCTTGATCAAAAAATGGTAGCAATACATTTATGTTGAAATCTACATCAAGATTGACATGATTGTACAACGATCCAGCACATTGGTGTATTGCAAACAGACACTGAAGAAAATTAATACTTTTAAAAGTGCAATCAACAACTAAAAATATGTGCCAAAATAAAAATACATTCATATGTTGAATTATAGTTATCTCGTACCATTGTGAACTCGTACCCATGTCAACTCGTACCACTAAAAAAAAACTCGTACCAATGCAAACTCGTACCACTGCTAACTCTTACCAAGGTAAATTCATACCATTGTAAACTCGTACCAACTTATTTAAATGCATTCAAATGGTGTTTAATGATGAGTATATACTTTAATTTCACTCAATACCTCTTAAGACTGTAAAATGTATATAATTTGAAATTACAATGACCAATTTGTAGCTAATTTTCCTTGTCTAATTGGATAGAGAAAACCGTGGCAGATTGGCTTTGTTGTCTCCCTTGAATAGACTCTTTTTTAAACTTTTACTGACAACTATTTGATTTAATTTTTAATCATTCCAAATCAGTAACATTGAATAGATTTGGGTATTTTTCTATTGTTTCTAAAAGGAATTTTATTTAATGAAAGAATTTATTTATTGTGTTTTAAAGGTTTAAAATTGTTTATGACCAACAGTTACAAAGTATGAAATTTATTTTTATACAATATTCAGCACATTCCAGCAGAATATGACCATGCTAATATGATTTAACAAGTTAATCAACCAATAATCACACAATCAAAGGAATTTTTAATATATTTATTAGCATGAAGTTTTCATTAAAATCTGGTAAAAATTCAAAGATATTTTAATTTTTTGTATAAAGCTTAAAAAAAAAAAACAATCATAAAACATTCGTATTTTTGTCTAAGTTTTCATTAAAATCTAAGTAATTCAACTCTTTTTATTTAGTTTACCAAAAAAAAAATCATAAAACATTCGTATTTTTGAATATATTTTTAATGGTACGTGTTTGCAGTGGTACGAGTTCTGATTGGTACGACTTCCCAGTGGTACGAGTTTACGTTGGTACGAGTTAACTTTTTTGGTACGAGTTTACGTGGTACGGGTTTACAATGGAACGAGTTAACTTGCTTCCCATATGTTTACACACTGATCTAGATGCCTAATTGCATTGACTTTGAATCTGTGTTTTTAACTGATCCAAAGAGGTAAAGCTCATAATGTTTTTGAGGAGTGAATTTGGGAAAACTGTATTAGTTGAAGTCTGTTTTAGTGCTTAATGTTTGAAGCTGTAGTGTACTGTGGAGCAAGGTAAAGGTTTGGGCCTATTGCTATAAGATTGTGAGCGATTTTGTACATCATAGTCCCTTGTAAAGGCAAATTTTCTAGCTTTGATCAGTCAAACGACCCAATATGTTATTTTCACACCCTACCTACGCAAAGGGAAACATAAAACATCAACTTTGATCAAATACAACAGGTGTGAACAGTGCTTAAGTTTGTAAACAATTATCGCATGTTTTCCATGGGCGCAGCCATGTTAGTCTATTCTAAATGCCGTATTGTATCTCGGATAAGGACAATATTTATTCCGCGTTTCTCAAACTAGGACAAAATTGTGTAGGTTATTTTTTATTATAACAATAGACATATAATACACGCATTATACTCGTATTATATGTCTCTGTTATAAAACAAATTTTCAAAATGATTGAATACCCTTATTATATATATATATATATAGAGAGAGAGAGAGAAATCACTAGAGCTTGTGTTGGTGTAAGTGATAAATTAGTCCTGGTAAAATGTGTCCGGGCGGACAAATATTACTAGTATAAAAAGTCCATGGTTACAGAATTTACTAGTATATTTAGTCCGATGTCAGTAATTTATGTCCCCAGACTCATTTTCCTAGGAATTTATGTCCATGTCATCAATATTCCTAGGTAAAAACGTCCATGTCCTTTATTTAATAGGAAAATGTGTAATTAAAGAAATCATTTGCATGTAAACATGCAATGGAATATTTAATTCTTAGGTTTTAATGTTGTTTAACAGTTGTGCATTAATCTTTTAATAAAATGTATGTGCCCAGACTAAATTTTCTAGGAAATCCTGTCCAGGCCATTAATATTGCCAAGTAAACACAACCATGTTCATTATTTTGATAAGACAATTTGTAATGAGAGAAATCATTTACATGTGAACAATGGAATTTTTAATTATGTTTCAATGCTGTTAAACAGTTGTGCATTAATCTTTTAATAAAATTTATCCGCCCAGACTAATTTTCCTAGGAATTCATGTCCAGGCCACTAATATTCCTAGGTAAAAACGTCCATGTCCTTTATTTTTATAGGAAATTTTGTAATGAAAGAAATAATTTACATGTAAACAATGGAATTTGTAACTTATATGTTTTTAAATTGTTTAACAGTTGTGCATTGATATTTCACTATTATATCAAAATATGGGTGTTTTTTAATAATTAAACGGACTTTTTTTCCTAGGAAAAATTAATATCACAGACTTTTATGATGTACATAATCACAAATGTTCCTTTCTTGATTTTGATATTGATTAATTTAAGTAATGTCTTAAGAAATAAACTTCTAAAGGGACTTTTTTCATACAAAAAAGGAGAATACAGAAATATAAAAATGTTCCTAGGAAAATAGGTGCCAGACATATTTTACTAGCTACGGACTTATTTTCCTAGGAAAATTTATCCAGGGACTTAATTTCCTAGTAAAATTATGGTCACGGACTTGATTACCTAGGAAAAAAAGTCCGGCGGACAAATTTTACTACCGGACCAAATTTACTGTTACATTTATTATCAGTATAATTTTTTATTAAAAATGTGTTTTTATATGAAATCATAAGGGAATTTTCAAAAGGTGAAACACATTTGACCTAAAACTTTAGTTTAATAGATAAAACTTTGAATTGAATTGAATTGACTTGATCAACAAGTAATTAACAAAGCAAATAAAACAACTTCTTACTTGTTTTGTGTATTGTCTTTTGATCGAGTTAAGCCATTTCAATTGATATTTTATTGTCTTTTTATGTTGTAATGTTATACCACTGTTTCAGGTTAGGGTGAAGGTTGGCGCCTGTTAAAACGTTTAAATCCGCTGCATTTTTATGCACCTGTCCTAAGTCAGGAGCCTGTTGTTCAGTGGTTGTCGTCATAAGTCTTCCTCGTTTCTCCGGCGTTTTTTTTTTATATAGATTAGATTAAACTATTGGTTTTCCTGTTTGAATTGTTTTACACTAGTCTTTTTTGGCCGAGGCCCTTTATAGCTTGCTGTTCGGTATGAACCAAGGCTCCGTGTTGAAGATCATACTTTGACCTATAATTATTTACTTTTTATTACACATTGTGACTTGGATGGATAGTTGTCTCATTGGCACTCATACCACATCTTCTTATTTATATCTACATGAATTTGTCAGTCCCGGAAAGTGGTTATTCGTTATATTTGATAATATTTTTACAGATACATATTAATGATTTGATTTGATTTTTGTGTTTCATGTTTAACGCCACTTTTAAGCACCGCTTTTGGGCTATTTCGTGGCGGCCAGTTTTTATTGGTGGAGGAAACCGGAGTGCCTGGAGAAAACCACCGACCTTCGATAAGAAAACTGACAATCCTAGTCAATTAAGATTGGAGTCGAGTGCACCCGCACGAGCGGGGTTCGAACTCACAACTTGGCCTCAGTGTTGACTGGCTAGTGATTACAGTAGTAACTACTTAGACCACTCGGCCACCGAGGCCCCTATACATATTAATGAATATGTATGTGGTTTTGATAACTTAATTAAAATCTTAGAAACTGCATTCATTATGAATACAATGCTTTATTCGTGAATAAATGAGAAGTGGTATATATCTGCTGGGAACAGTATATAATCTATGTCAATATATATGTTATGTTCCTGATATCTGGGACTAATACATTGATCTTTTAGTCCCAGTGTATATGGAATATCTGTATCCGTTTATTACACAGTGTAGGATCCGATCGCGGATATATGAGTATTGACTATTGAGTATTGCATATCGTCTTTGTCGATATCAAATGTAACGCCAAAATATAAGTATCAGAGGGGGTCGAGCCATAAGTGTCAATACCTGGATAGCAATACATATAAAGTTGTGTAAAAACTATTGAAAATAAAATCAGACTACTACCGACAAAGACTTTATTGATCTTACAACAGCCTTTAAGAATAAGTTTTTTCAAACGGTCAATATACTTATATGGATCGTATCTTAGTTTACGAGCTCTATAAACAACATCTCATTAGAATAAAAGGATGTGACGGCCAGTATGTAAGTAAGATCCAAACTTCCGAAGCATCTGTAAATGAATATAGTATGATGCTCGTAGTTACTGAAACTCGGCATACTTTGCCTGTTGATTCACGTCTTTACTTCTTCAGGCTATCAGTTATCCTCCAACACATTTGAAGATTATTTGTTCTGCGGGACATTTGTATAATATAGTATAAATGATAAATTATATTAAAATTTTTAAACCAGTTTGGAAAAAATCCGAAATCTTTAACTGCTCATCAAAACCATATACAATCAGTACGCATATGGATTTGTTGTCATCGTTGTATTAAAGCCAGTATTGGTATTCACAACGTATTCATATAGGTACAGATACAGATTTGTACAAGTAGCCGGAGTCAATTTGTATCTGAACGCATGCATCAATTGCTGTTATTGTTGCGGGTTATGTTGGTAACACTAGGTTTGGCCGATAATTAAGTTATGTTTCCATTGAATTAAAGTGATTGGAAAGATTTTGTTCACGTATAAGGGGGTTGATACGCAGTTTGAGATGTGGGATATCATTAATGGTTACAAAAAAAGTGGGGATACGGGAAATAAGGAGTGAAACAAGTGGAATCTGGGAAAAAGGAAGAAAAAAGGTGGGAAGTTGGAAGAATTACAAAAAAAAAACGGGATTTGGGAAATGAAAACTCCTGTGTCGACCCTTATTGTATGTGTCTTTTGGATTTTAGCATACATGTTGAGAATAGATGATAGTATAGCTACGGGGCGCCGAATGGGACTTGAACTAATTGTAATCAGAAATTCAATTTTGTGTACACAAAATTCAATTCTGTCATAACAAAATCATTTTTGTCTTACAAAACTATGTGATACAGACTTGTTTTATGAGAACTTCAATTCTGTAATGACAAAATTCTTTTTTGTAGGCAAAATTCATTTTTGTAGACAAAATTCAATTTTGTCAAATAGGCATGCAAATATGAATTTATTTGCATACAAAATTGACTTTTGTTACCTGATATGGAAATTAAAACACAAAAGTCAATTTTGTGAGACAAAATTGAATTTGTACGTTATTAACATGTTGATTAAATTAGCATCCTGTGATTTTGTAATTAGAATTATTTTTTGTGCAGACAAAATCGAGTTTTGTTAGACAGAAGTGAAAATTTAACACAAAATTGACTTTTGTCGCCCAATTTTCAAATTAGGTAACAAAAGTAAAGTCTGTGAAACAAAAATGAATTTTGTCATGACACAAGTAACTTTTGTCCGCAGAAAGATAATTTTGTATGACAAAATTTAAAATTTGTAGTATGCTACAAATTTTGTTAAACTGAGCTCATTTTTGTTGAACAAAACTCACTTTTGTCCGTACAAAATTGAATTTCGAGTACAAAACCACAAGAGTCCCGTTCGGCGCCCCGTAATATCTACCACAAGATGCTAAATTTCTAAAACGCAATCTCCTTCGTTTTAGCGCATGTATAATCAGGACATGCTTTCCAATATGTTTGTTACACCAGAGACATATATACACATGTCTCTGGTTACACTGCTTCAGTTATGACAATATGAAAATAAGGAAATGCATGCAGTATGAATGCCAATGAGACAACCACACACCAGAGTTCAGATGAAGTGGATATTAGCAATTATTGGTCACCATACGGCCTTCAACAATGTTTATTTTAGACTTTTTGAAATTGGAATTTACGTTTTTGTATGTTATAAATCATATATGTGATTTTGAGTCAAATCGGTGAACATGTCTTGAATTTGACAGCTATTAAAGTAGTTGCAGTCACATCTTCTTACCTATAAGATGTTAAAAACTAAACAAAACATGAAACACCAACGTTACGACCATAGTATGATGTTTTACCTTTACAATTGTAATTCTTTTCACTATAGTTAAAATTGAGAATGGAAATGGGGAATGTGTCAAAGAGACAACAACCCGACCGAAGGCCACCAATGGGTCTTCAACACAGCGAGAAAATCCGGCACCCGGAGGCGGGCTTCAGCTGGCCCCTAAACAAAAATGTGTACTAGTTCAGTGAAAATGGACGTCTGAAACTCCGAAACATATAAATGAACTAAAATCATGAAAAGAAAAAACATACAAGACTAACAAAGGCCAGAGGCTCCTGACTTGGGACAGGCCCGGCAAAAATGCGGCGGGTTTAAACATGTTTTGTGAGATCTCAACCCTTCCCCTATACCTCTAGCCAATGTAGAATAAACAAACACACAGCAATACGCACACCAAAACTCAGTTTAAAAGAAGTCCGAGTCCGATGTCAGAATAGGTAACAGAAGAAACTAAGCAAAATGACAAGGCACTGGCTAAGGTTACATTGAAATGTAACAATAATAGAATAATTATTGTATTATTATTGTTACATTTCCATGTAACCGTAGACAGTGCCAATTAACGAAGGACTATACTAGCACTGCGATTACTGACATGCCAGCTCCAGACCTCAATTAAACTGATTGAAAGATTATGTCTTCATCATATGAAAATCAAGCACAATACAATATATGGAAGAAAAAATGCATCATCTATAAGTTAACTTAGACAAGTCTAAAAATCACACGATAAGTAAATTAAGTTCATAAAAATAGAATCAACACTTTATCATTGAAAATGAACACTTTACTATTTTCTACAATCTGGTTTCATTGTAATTTTACATACGGATATCAACATTTTAAAATAGGAAACCAGTTAAGTTGAATTAAATATTGCGGGAAAAAGAACTTGTTGACAAAATTGGTTTTAATGATTTAAACCACTCCAACAGATTTATCAACTACTAAAATTATATTATGAACATAAATATACGTACACTGGTTATAAGGTAATTCACTAAAGAAACTACCAATTGTATTAATAGGCAATTTGTTCTCGTCATGAATATTCATGAAATAATTGCCACTGGACGTTAAGCAAGCAGCTTTCAATCAATCAGTTAAGAAATATTGTGAATAAATTAAAAGATACCATAGCTGCAGTGGCATCTAAAATGGAAGAACCAACAACACTAAACAAAAACGTTGAAAACTTGGTATGATTGCCAATGAAACAGCTAGGTCTCCTTAGCAGTTCTGGTGGTCTCTTGTTCCCCTTGAGGATGGGAGGTCGTGAGATCTAACCCCTGGGTGGTCTGACCAAAGACTGTATAATTGTTATTTGCTTCTTCACTAAGCACATGGCATTAAGATTTAAGAGCCAAGACTAGTCAGCTCTGAGACAGAATAATGTGTCTGTGTAGGGTGACATGTCTTTCTGCAGACTATTACCTTGTGAACTAGTACATTATCAATATGGCTCAATGTTTAGGTATAGTACAAAGCAGGGTTTTTAATTCATATTGCCCTAACATGTTCTTTTCCTGAATATGCATTTAATTTGCCACTGGACGTTAAACAACCATCCACCCATCCATCCTACAAATTACAGTACATCGAATAAATCGCTTGAAAATATATATTTCTTTTATATAATAGACAGAAAACAATTTTCTTGTAAAAGATCTGTAAAAGGCAAGGTTACACTAAAAAGAACAAGTATTGGTCTATTAGAAAGTTTTATTACATGATATTGATATAAATGTATAAAGAACTGAATAAACTAGAAATTAAATGGACATGACAAGGTAACTACAAGTACAAAAAATTAGTGGCTATTTGTCTAAAGTTTACCTTCAAGCATGTTTAAGTCTGAGAAAGATAATTATCTGTTATATTTCTCCTGTATATTTTAATTTTAAAGAGGAATTTAACAGGTCAACATTTCATGTATTTTAAAACTAACTCTATAGTTTTCAGATATATATGTATAAAACAAGGATTATGAATTAGAATGAAACAGGATGTCTGGAAGCAGTTATGATGAAGCTCAAAAACTGAAAAAAAATCTGAAGAAATGGGAAGCTGATTTTATAGCAGAGCATGATAGAAAACCTAAAAAGGTAAGTATTTCTGATGAGTAAGTTCTTGAAATTGTAATAAAATACAAAAAAAAAATTCATGCATCAGTTAGACATGTTAGATATGCTTTCATGTCGATCCGGCCCCACGTCGATCCGGCCCAAGTCGATCCGTCCCACGTCGATCCGGCCCAACGTCGATCCGGCCCATATTTAAAGTCCATCCGGCCCCAATAAAAAAATATATTTATAAGGAATAAAAATAAAGATATATATTAATTGCAATTCATAAATGTTTATGAATTTTATTATAATGTAAAAGGTGTACGGTAAAAAAAATGGCCTTTGACAAATATTTTCTTTAGATGAGTATAAAACAAGTAGGTTGATTATGTTTTCATTACAAGTTTTCAAGATTATTGGGTATAATTATAATAAAAACGTATATAACAGAATTTAGTACAATCAACAGACATCAACATTAATCAGCAGTAATTAGCATTTTCTTTCAATTGACTGTGATCTTAACAAGTCTTTCATCCTGTGTAATAACAAATAGTTACATACACAACGGTACAAGCCGATCCCCTAGCTGATAAATACAAACTTTGTTTTTGTTGAATAAACAAACCAATTATAGACTAATGATTTGATTAAACAAGTCATTATATGATGAGTTAAATTTTATAGGTTCCATTGGACTGTAAATATTTATTTAGCGATTATGTGTGTGAATTAAATAAAATAAAAATCACCATGACATTAAAGTTATCATGGAAAATAACTTCATATTAAAATGTTGAAGCTGCTATACAAACAGACACAATCACACTCAGTTTCTTATCGATTTAAAATAATTCTTTGACTGGTACACCAATACTTCACTTACCTGTTGTCATCCATCATCGATACTTTTTGCAAAATCCATTTATACTGTTAAAATCCTCCAAAGTCAATATAGTTTATTCATATTTTATTATGGGGCCGGATCGACTTTGGGCCGGATCGACGTGGGCCGGATCGACTTGGGACGGATCGACTTTGGGCCGGATCGACTTGGGGCCGGATCGGTTTGGGGACGGAACGACCGGATACCTTAGATATCTGCACTAACTTCTGGTTTTCATTTGGTAGTTGACTTCCTGTGTGACTGTATATACATATTGTTTGCCTAAAGTGCAAGGTGCTTTGTAGTACATTTCAACAGCATTCAGCCTGCAAACTTTCAATGTGAAACTTCATGATAAAATTCACTAAAACTTTGTATATCATGTTAATTTGTTTATTTTTATAAAAGATATACAAATGCATATGGGAGATTTCTAATATTTTATATTGCATCTGAAAAAATTCTAGATTTTCAAATAGACAATGATTGAAATATTTGTCGTATTAGATATTATAAACATTTAAGGTAAAAGAATTATTACTTTCACATTACACTACATAAATTATATCTTTTTGATACTTTTTTCAGGAAGACATTGATGCAGCTCCACAAAACATACAAGGTAATGATTATTGTTACTCTTAAACACAGCAGTAATTCAAAAACTTATTATTTTAACATGGTAGTCAGCAGTTATATATAAACAAAATAAAAATAACTCTGTACAAATTTGGTGTGTCCAAAGCGCTTTTCCGGACTAATCTTCATTGGGAACGCTGCTGAAGCCCAAAATTTGAAATCCATGGTTTGTACTTGAATAGGTGAGGAGCTAAAAAAATAGCCAAATTCATATCAGGTCAACTTTGCTGACGTGAGTTGGAACCTTAGTTTCTTAACAATTTCTGAATTTATCATAAGATGTAGTATCCACAACAAAGTCTTCTTTCATTATAACAAATTTTATTAAGATTGTTGTGGCCACTACATGTACCTATATTTCTTAGTAACCAAAATTCACAAACAGTATAAACAACCTATTGTATAGAGTGAATATAGCGCACACTTTCAGTTCTGGTGTAACCTATAACATTATTACCAAATAAACCCCAAAATGACAAAAAATACAATGTAGTTACACCAGACACTGAAACATGTTTAATTTGAATTAAATTAAAAAGGTGCAATTGAATTTGAACCATATTGACTTAAAAACAATTAAAATTTGATTGGAAAAAGTGCGTCAAATACATGCCAATCAATGGATTTTTTAAAATTTTGATGAGCATTTATGTTTGCAGCATTTACAAATCTTTTGGGGTATTTTCCTCTTGCATTTGTATGTCATATGTTTAAATCACCTCATAAAAATGTACCAGATTTTGGTACCAGATGATGAAAATATAAATTTTGCCATTTATATCTTATTTTATTTTAGACACATACAAAGATTATAACAAGCTAAAACGACAGATTCAGGTAGGCCTCATGTTTTATTTTATGTAAAAGTAACTGTTAGCTTATAAATGTTGATTTGATGAGTAAATTATTGTCCCCCGCGTAACTCATTGCAGGGGACATGGAAATACTGTGCGTCCGTCTGTGTGTCCGTCCGTCTGTGTGTCCGTCAGTCCATCCTTTCTTGTTAGAGCTCTCACAGGTACAATTCTTGCCAGATTTTTATAAAAAATGTACAATAGGTTAATATCAGCAATATCTCGGACAAGTTCTATAATCGTGGCTGATCAACTCTTTTTAAAAGAGTTATGCCCCTTGGAAATATTAAATTTATAGGAAATGGCCTCGTTAGCGCTCTCTTAGGTACAATTCTTGCCAGATTTTTATAAAACTTATACTATAGGTTAATATCAGCAATATCTTGGACAGGTTCTATAATCGTGGCCGATCGACTTTTTTGAAAAGAGTTATGCCCCTTGGAGATATTAAATTTATGGAAAATGGTCTCGTTAGCGCTCTCTTGGGTACAAGTCTTGGCCGATATTTATAAAACTTATCAGTCAGAGGACTTACTGAAATAAGTGATTTAAAAATCACTCATTTAAGTAGCAAATTTGAAATATTATCACAAATTGTGATTTTGTAGTTTTACCAAAATTTTAAACATATAGGTTTAGATTATATCTTATTATAAGTAAAATTGGAAAAAATGAACCCTTTTCTTCTTTTAAATAGCAAAGTTTATGCCTTTGATGCAATCATTTAGCTGTAAATTCTATATTTGTTGAAAAAATGCTATAATAAAGGCTTTACATAATGAACTGATACTATCTAAACAGATTTTTCCCAGCAGTGGGAGTAATTTTCCTGTAAAATTCAAGGTTTCATCTAACAGATTATGTAATAAAATTTTACTGTTCGCTATCAAAATTTCACTGTTCGGGGATGTTGAAATAAGTGGGGGTAATTAAAATAATAATACTTAAAGAAGTGATTTTTTAAAGAAAATAGAGGTATGATACTTAAACAAGTGATTTTTCATGTCATTATACCAGATTCAGTACAAGGTCATAACCTGACATGACAGGTCATCCTATCAACACTGATGTTGGTTCTGATAATTTTAGCAACACAATTAGTCCCTGGATCATTAGTATTGTATATTTAAAGCTACAATAAAATTATATTACTTAGTCTAGTGATTTATTTGTACTACTTAAATAGGTGATTATTAAAGAAAGACAACTCTTACTTCCAACATTTGTGGACACAGTGTTACTTGAATCAGTGATTTAAAAAATCACTCATTTCAGTAAGTCCCCTGACTGCTTATACTATAGGTCAGCAATATCTCGGACAAGTTCTATAATCGTGGCCGATCAACTTTTTTAAAAGTGTTATGCACCTTGGAAATATAAAATTTATGGGAAATGGCCTTGTTAGTGCTCTCTTAGGTACAATTCTTGCCAGATTTTTATAAAACTTATACTATAGGTTAATATCAGCAATATCTTGGACAGGTTCTATAATCGTGGCCGATTGACTTTTTTAAAAAGAGTTATGCCCCTTGGAGATATTAAATTTATGGAAAATGACCTTGTTAGCGCTCTCTTGGGTACAAGTCTTGGCCGATATTTATAAAACTTATCAGTCAGGGGACTTACTGAAATAAGTGATTTAAAAATCACTCATCTAAGTAGCAAATTTGAAATATTATCACAAATTGTGATTTTGTAGTTTTACCAAAATTTTAAACATATAGGTTTAGATTATATCTTATTATAAGTAAAATTGGAAAAAATGAACCCTTTTCTTCTTTTAAATAGCAAGGTTTATGCCTTTGATGCAATCATTTAGCTGTAAATTCTATATTTGTTGAAAAACTTGTTGAAAAAATGCTATAACAAAGGCTTTACATAATAAACTGATACTATCTAAACAGATTTTTCCCAGCAGTGGGAGTAATTTTCCTGTAAAATTCAAGGTTTCATCTAACAGATTATGTAATAAAATTTTACTGTTCGCTATCAAAATTTCACTGTTCGGGGATGTTGAAATTAGTGGGGGTAATTAAAATAATAATACTTAAAGAAGTGATTTTTGTCGAGCCTGCGACAGCTCGACATAGGGATAGTGATCCGGCGGCGGCGGCGTTAGCTAACTTCTTAAAAGCTTTATATTTTAGAAGGTGGAAGGTCTGGATGCTTCATACTTTGTATATGGATGCCTCATGTTACGAAGTTTCCGTCAGTCACATGTCCAATGTCCTTGACCTCATTTTCATGGTTCAGTGACTACTTGAAAAAAAAGTTAAGATTTTTTGTAATGTTAGATTCTCTCTTATTATAAGTAATAGGATAACTATATTTGGTATGTGCGTACCTTGCAAGGTCCTCATGCCCGTCAGACAGTTTTCACTTGACCTCGACCTCATTTCATGGATCAGTGAACAAGGTTAAGTTTTGGTGGTCAAGTCCATATCTCAGATACTATAAGCAATAGGTCTAGTATATTCGGTGTATGGAAGGACTGTAAGGTGTACATGTCCAACTGGCAGGTGTCATCTGACCTTGACCTCATTTTCATGGTTCAGTGGTTATAGTTAAGTTTTTGTGTTTTGGTCTGTTTTTCTTATACTCTATGCCATAGGTCTACTATATTTGGTGTATGGAATGATTGTAAGGTGTTAATGTCTAGCGGGCAGGTGTCATCTGACCTTGACCTCATTTACATGGTTCAGTGGTCAAAGTTAAGTTTTTTGAGTTTTGGTCTTTTTTTCTAATACTATATGCAATAGTTCAACTATATTTGGTGTATGGAAATATTTTATGATCTATTTGGCAGTCACGCAGGTTTCATTTGACCTTGACCTCATTTTCAAGGTTCATTGCTCAGTGTTAAGTTTTTGTGTTTTGGTCTGTTTTTCTTAAACTATGAGCAATAGGTCAACTATATTTGTTGTATGGAAGAATTGTTAGCTGTACATGCCTGCCTAGCATGGTTCATCTGACCTTGACCTCATTTTCATGGTTCATTGGTCAATGTTAAGGTTACTTGGTTAATGTTAAGTTTATGTGACAGTTGTAATAAAGCTTTATATTTAGGACTATCAACATAATATCAATGATTAGTAAAGAAGGCGAGACATTTCAGCGTGTGCACTCTTGTTGATTATTTAAAGAAAATAGAGGTATGATACTTAAACAAGTGATTTTTCATGTCATTATACCAGATTCAGTACAAGGTCATAACCTGACATGACAGGTCATCCTATCAACACAGATGTTGGTTCTGATAATTTTAGCAACACAATTAGTCCCTGGATCATTTGTATTGTATATTTAAAGCTACAATAACATTATATTACTTAGTCTAGTGATTTATTTGTACTACTTAAATAGGTGATTATTCAAGAAAAACAACTCTTACTTCCAACATTTGTGGACACAATGTTACTTGAATCCGTGATTTAAAAAATCACTCATTTAAGTAAGTCCCCTGACTGCTTATACTATAGGTCAGCAATATCTCAGACAAGTTCTATAATTGTGGCCAATTAACTTTTTTAAAAGTATTATGCCCCTTGGAAATATAAATTATGTGCAACATGGGGACATTGGAACTCATAATATTCATAATGAAAAATACGTCCAAAGTTCAGCTGAATTATGGATTGATATTTAAAACACAAACTACATAAAAAATGTATTTCTACTTTAAATTAGGGCTGTTACAGATTAATTTGTATGGGGGATGGCACTTTATTCAGAACATAATCACCAGTAATGTAAAATTTTCATTTACTTTAAATTCTCTCAAAATTATTAGCTCACCGGCCATGTGAGCTTATGCCATCACTTGGCGTCTGTCGTCGTCATCTGTCGTCGTAAACTATTTCAAAAATCTTCTCCTCCGAAACTACTGGGGCAATATCCTTCAAACTTTAACTAAATGTTCCTTAGGGTATCTAGTTTATAAATTGTATCCGAAGTTTTGATCCATCAACAAACATGGCCACCATGGCTAAAAATAGAACATAGGGGTCAAATGCAGTTTTTGGCTTATATCTCAAAAACTAAAGCTTTTAGAGCAATCTGACATTGTTCAATTGGTCAAGATCTATCAGCTCTGAAATTTTCAGACGAATCGAACAACCCATTGTTGGGTTGCTGCCACCGAATTGGTAGTTTTAACAAAATTTTGCAGTTTTTTGTTATTATTTTGAATATTATTATAAATATATATAAACTGTAAGCAGCAATAATGTTCAGCAAAGTAAGATCTACAAAAAAGTTAATATGACCATAATTGTCAATTGACCCCTTAAGGAGTTATTGCCCTTTAAAGACAATTTTACACAATTTGTTCATCAAGTTTGCTAACATTTAAAAATCTTCTCCTCTGAAATACAGGTGAGTGATTCAGGCTCTTGAGAGCCTCTTGTTAATAAATGCAACCACCCACAATTTATTAATTTGATTGCCTCTATTCTCTCCATGTGTAAATCTGGAAAAGACCTTACAGAGCATAGTTTATATGTCTTAGCTTATTCCATGTTGAAAGGCTTTGTAAACCATGACACACAAACTGAAAATATTGCAATATATTTTAACCACAAATACATACATTTTGTAAGTTGACCTTTACAGTATGTATACATTCTTTGGATGAAAAAGTACTCTTTTATTAGAGAAGAGAGGCAAGAGTTACCAAAGGGATATTCAAACTCATACGTCTATTAAACAAACTGACAATGCCATGGGAAAAAAACCGAAAAAAACCAAACAGCACATATATATGAGATAAGAAGAAGATATGTGCTGTATGTCAATGAGACAACAACCCAGCTACACAAAATAAAAACCAAAAGACATTTAGAGGTCAACTTACAGTCTTCAACAATGCCCAACAAGTGTCAAAACAATATGTCAAGCTCTAAATTGTCCTAAGTTTGGAAAAGTTGTGATTAGATTAAACTGACTATCCAAGATCTACTATCAACAACAAATTCCCTAAAGTTAAAAAAAAACAATATTCAGATATGTTTTTATGAATAAGACAACCACATATCTTTTTTGCATCATTTTAATAAAACGTGGACGTCACCTGCATTCTATTATTGTGTCAAAAAGGTCACTGAATCAAAAATGTGCATTTGTACAACAGACAAGCATGAATATAAGACTGTTTCTATACATAAATCAAATCAGCTAATCTGGAAAGGAGTAGGCCCAGTAAGACCCCTTTTTGGCCCCAAAATATAGCAGTTTTACAAAATTGTTAAAATGTAAATTTTTAGCTATTTATTGGAAAGAAGAAGTCTTCTGTTACATAAATATGGGCTGTTTTTGACAATACAATGCACATGTATCAGGTACTAGCATCATTAAGTCATGCTAAATTACTGAAATCTTCGAAATTTTAGCATTTTGGTTAATTTTTAGACGGTTTCCGTCTGAAATGGAAGTGGCCGCATTTGTGCTCATTCTTAATATTTAAATGTAAGTTGTATTTGATGATAATACATAACATATATAAAGGTTGAGAATGAACACGGATGCGGCCACTTTCATTTTTGACAAAAACCATCTGAAAAGTGACATATTATGGCATATTTGATAGATTTGTCATATTTAAGCTTGAATTTGAGCGTCTTTAATGACTAAATCAGTTCAAATCTTTCACATAAACTAATTGAATCGACTGAAGTAGACACTTAAAAAGTGTCCAAAATCTTTCATCAGATGAACCTGAATTGTGAGGCCAAAATCGGCCCTTACCGGACCTACTCCTTTGTTTTGGAGAGCACATAGTATTTTCTTTTGATGGGATAGCTCTCATTTCAAGCTTCTGTAACCTCTAAGCAAAAAATAATGGGAAATAAACAAGTATATTATTTATAGGAAAGATTAGACAAGAAGACATTAAGTCAAAGCAGTGAAAAAGATAATTCAGAAGAGAAATATGATCAAAATCAAAACAGTTCTCACCATACCTCACCAGGAACCAAGGAAAGGAAGATCAGTAGGGACAAATCTTTTGAAGAGGAAAAACAAACAGATGAAAACTCATTAGAAAATGTACCTGACGTTTGGAGTCGAGAATTTGACAAAAAGAAGAATGAGGTTAACAAAACTATTGGGCAAACTGATTCAACAGGCAAAAAATCTAATCAGTATCTACAAAAACTTAGCAGTAAATTGTTTGATGGCTCTAAGAAAATCGGTAATGCAAGACCAACTTATAGACGTTCTGAACCGGTAGTTGTTCGTAAAGAGTTAATAAATAAAGATGATAAGGAAAAGAAAACAGACATTTATAACCATCATATCACAGAGGAAAATTTTAAAATAAAAAATGATTTTTTTGAAAAAGCTGCTTCTTTAGCTAATAAAAAACAGATATCATCTGATTATGATTCAGAACAGGTCATTATCCATGATAAATTCAAGGTCAAACCAAAAGCAAACCTTTCACAATTTTCCAAGAGTTTTTGTGACAATGAATCAAATGAAAGTGGAAATACTGGTAAAGTTGAAAAATCATACGATCAAGCCTGGGATGAAGTTGATCACATGACACCTTTTGCCGACGAATCTAATACATATTCTTCAAAAGGCTTTAGTGAAGATCCAGTTTCTGTTGATAAATCTCCCAAAAAAATTGATAGTGGAAGGAATTTTAGCATGAAGAATGAACAGAGTTCTGATTCAAACTTCAAACATGATCACTTTGTTTCTGATCATGAAGAACCAATGGATGTTGATGATCAGAGTTATAGTGCTAATGTACGCAGGGTGAAGAAACCAGTGAGTAGAAGGACGAAGAAAAGTATTCCTGAAAATAGTGAGAATCAAGAAATGAATAAAGACGACACTATGCAAATCTCTAGTAATATGTTCAATTTCGATGAAACTGATGATGTACCTATTATACCAAAGCATGGGAAAAGAAAAGCAGAAAGTAGTACAGATGGACCCAGTAAGAAAAGGAAAATAAAACTTGTTGAAGAAGAGAACAAAGTAAGGATAAATGTTAAAAGTTATTTGTTTACCAAAAGTTTAAAATGCATACAAACAATGCATATTTAAATTCATGAATGATCAATCAGATTTGACATGAAATAATAATTGAACTTTGATAGTCGAACACCAAGACTGAAAAAGACTATTGAATTTTCTCCAAGTTATTGACTGAAGTTTGTATACATACAAAAATATTGATGGGTAAAATCATTTGACATAATCATAGTGTTTTAATTACTGGTGTTCAAGCTACAGAAGTTCTACAGTACAAGAATAAGAATGTTATTTTTTTACCCCTAAAAATGCAAAACATGGCTTTAAGTACCACATATTATATGTTCTTTGTGAAACATTAACAACATGATTAAGGTTAGGATGGTAATGAATCCATATTCAACAGTGTTATAAAAAAATTCTGTCTTTATCATCTGATCATATAAAAGGTCATTAAATGACAATAGTGGTTAATTGTATACAATGGATCATAACATGATGGTTTTGTACTATATATAGAAATCTGTACCCTAGTTGATTATAAAATTGCTTTAAATTTACCAATATGGTAACGTAAGATATTTTCTCTTTTCTTTATATAAATTAAAATTTGAATAGCTTTAATTCATGCACTTTAAATTAGAAGGTAATACATTTATACAAACAAAACTGCCTTTATCATATTCAATATCTCTACTTCTCTACTTGCGTGCAGTTTGTAATCGTGTAAATCAACTCTGTTCATGATGTGTTTTTATTTAAAAAATATGTTTTCTACTTAAGGACAGTGTTGAAGGAGCTGATGACGATGAAAAGCCAAAGGCAAAAAAATCATATGCACCAGCAAGGTAATGCTTAGAAGAGGGTGGTAAAGGGTTATTTTGGTGCAACTTGTTTGCAGTTTTTATTCACATGTTTTTGTGTTTGAAGCTCATTAGTGCAAATAGGTAAAAAAGCAACATGCAAGCTATTATTAAATATTTTGTTCTTCTTGAAATGGCCATTTTATTTCCAGTTTATGTATACACATAACGATCTTCAGGACACTCTTAGAAATATATGGGCGAAGAAGTGACATTAACCTATCTACTGGTATCAGGTGTAACCTCTTTCATCAAATTATTTGGCAACAGTTTATAGTTTGAAGAATTCCTTTGCTCATTAGATATTTAGTATTTTAAGAATTTTAATCATGGAGTGTTTTATGATTTTTTTAAGTGGTTTTGGGTCGTTAAGTATAAATTGCTTTTCTATCTGTGACACTTATTGTGAATTGGTTTGTGTTTTTTCAGGAATAAAGCAGCCGCTTCATCAACATCATCAGATAATTTTGTAAGGCTGAATATGAAAATAAAGACGTATAAAAGGAAAGGAAAGAAAGGCATGACAGGACCACAAATGAGAAGATTCCAATGGAAACAAAAAATGAAGTCTCGCAGCAAAAGTTATGGAGATAAATGTTTTAAATGTGGTCAGGAAGGACATTGGGCTAATAAGTGTACAGGTAAATTGAATGTAAAAGAGTCAATTGATTAGCATCCTACAAGAATGGAAGTGGGGTATTTTCAGTTCATCCATACAATAAAATAGAGGACAGTTCTACCATCACAAAATGTCTATGTAAAGTATCAGTGTTTGGGTTAACAATTTTAAGCTCTTATTAGAGTATGTTGTGTATAAAATAAGATACAGCGTACACCTTAATGAGACAGCAACCCAATAACAAAAATACTATAAAACATCCAGAGGTTAATATATAGTCTTAGCATTAAAAAAGTCTTGATACAATGTCCAGTTTTAATTCAGACATTTGAATAAATTAATGAGACATTAGTATATGGAAATCATGCTTTCTTACACTTTTAAAACATCTACCATTGTTATTCTAAGTATATTTTATGCAGCAATTTGTGAACATGATCTTATTGAAGGCCCAAATTCAAAGGTAAATTACAGAAAACGAAAAGAATTTTTTAGTTTTAAGCTGTATTTCCAACTGTTATTTTAAGTGAATCAGTGATTTTTTTACAACAACAGTTTAGATATATACCAGTTAACCTTTTTCAACAAGTCAAAATTAAAGCAAAAAAGAAAGATTTGACAAGTTTTTGATTTTGATTTTATCTGACATATTTAAATAACACCTTCCATACTGTTGACCAGCTGCAAAGCCACAGAGGTGAATAATTTTTGATTTTGGATTTGAAATACTGTGGATTCATTTTTGTTTTCGTGGATACTAATTTTCGTGGATTGAGGAAACTTACATTTTTGTGGTTATTTGATTTCGTTGTTTTGCCAAAGTCTGCATACATATAGAGAATTTGAAATTTGTTGAACATTTAAATTTGTGATTCACCTGTACCCTACAAAATCCGCAAAAATTGGTATCCCACGAATAATAACAAATCCACAGTACATGTATTGAAATACTTTCAATCAATCATTCATAGGTCAAGGTAAAGCAAAGGAGGAAATAGATGATAAGCCGCCAGTTCTGGACGAAAATTTCCCAACCCTTAAACAAGCTTCCATGATGGCTAAAGGTATTAAGATGGATGTCCAAGAAAAAAAAATCAAAGAAAAAAAATCCAAAGAAACAGAAGACAATCAGGAAGGTAATTAAGATAACTGCATTATTTTAGTGAATGTTGTCATGGATATGGAAAAAGAAGTAAGGGAACAGTGATTTTATTGCTTTTTATCAGTTTACCAGGTCAGCTTAAACAGTTGAGTTACTTCTCTTTCCTTTAGGATAAAAGAATGTAAATATTTTTCTAGTTTGAGGATTCTTGATTTTATTGGGTTATAATTCTCTCTCATCAAACAAAGCCTATTTCAAGTATATTCTCTGGAAAGTTTCAATTATGCTTATCTTAAACACAAAATCTACAAAAGACATATTATCGAATCAACAATATGATTCATTTCTGTAAACAGGGCAAGACAATAAATATACTGTTAGATTTTCAGAAATGTTGACAAATCGTTTTATAACATATCCGTTTATTATAGGGCAGTTGTTATGTGGTCAATGCAAAATAAATAATTAAATCCTGAAAAAGCTTCATCAGGCCTTTCAGTCATATAACTTGACTCAGTACTCAGAGTACAAAATTTTTGCTTGAAACATCAATATCTAGTATTTTTTTTTGGTTGATTTCCAAGCCTGAGAACAGTAATAGTATTGGAAAGTTGTCTGACTGTAAGCTCAAGGTACTCTTGATTGTTCTAGGGGTATTTTCTGATTTCTCCAGCAGCACAAGGAAATTGAAATGGATCTTAAGGCTTTACTATGAAATAAAAAGACATTAACATTTTGATATTATGATTTTTGTTTATAGAAAAAGAAGAGGATGATTTTGACGATCTAGATGTAGAGGCAGGAGTTGTCAGAAATACCAGAGAACAACCAGACACGCCTCCACCCATGGAACCATTCCTTACAATGGAAGAATGCAGGTCACAAGGTTTGAAAAAAATCTCTTTTCTAATTACATATAGTCGCCTCCACCCACGGAACCATTCCTTACAATGGAAGAATGCAGGTCGCATGGTTTGAAATTATTCACTTTATTAATTATGTTTAGCTGGAAAACTAATATATAGAGAGAAACTTTAAATATCAAATATTATCTTCAGCAAGAAAACATCTACAAATAGGTCAAGCAAGGCTGAAATCTTCAGAAGACCCTTTATAGAAAACATCTACAAATAGGTCAAGCAAGGCTGAAATCTTCAGAAGACCCTTTATAGAAAACATCTACAAATAAGTCAAGCAAGGCTGAAATCTTCAGAAGACCCTTTATAGAAAACATCTACAAATAAGTCAAGCAAGGCTGAAATCTTCAGAAGACCCTTTATAGAAAACATCTACAAATAAGTCAAGCAAGGCTGAAATCTTCAGAAGACCCTTTATAGAAAACATCTACAAATAAGTCAAGCAAGGCTGAAATCTTCAGAAGACCCTTTATAGAAAACATCTACAAATAAGTCAAGCAAGGCTGAAATCTTCAGAAGACCCTTTATAGAAAACATCTACAAATAAGTCAAGCAAGGCTGAAATCTTCAGAAGACCCTTTATAGAAAACATCTACAAATAAGTCAAGCAAGGCTGAAATCTTCAGAAGACCCTTTATAGAAAACATCTACAAATAAGTCAAGCAAGGCTGAAATCTTCAGAAGACCCTTTATAGAAAACATCTACAAATAAGTCAAGCAAGGCTGAAATCTTCAGAAGACCCTTTATAGAAAACATCTACAAATAAGTCAAGCAAGGCTGAAATCTTCAGAAGACCCTTTATAGAAAACATCTACAAATAAGTCAAGCAAGGCTGAAATCTTCAGAAGACCCTTTATAGAAAACATCTACAAATAAGTCAAGCAAGGCTGAAATCTTCAGAAGACCCTTTATAGAAAACATCTACAAATAAGTCAAGCAAGGCTGAAATCTTCAGAAGACCCTTTATAGAAAACATCTACAAATAAGTCAAGCAAGGCTGAAATCTTCAGAAGACCCTTTATAGAAAACATCTACAAATAAGTCAAGCAAGGCTGAAATCTTCAGAAGACCCTTTATAGAAAACATCTACAAATAAGTCAAGCAAGGCTGAAATCTTCAGAAGACCCTTTATAGAAAACATCTACAAATAAGTCAAGCAAGGCTGAAATCTTCAGAAGACCCTTTATAGAAAACATCTACAAATAAGTCAAGCAAGGCTGAAATCTTCAGAAGACCCTTTATAGAAAACATCTACAAATAAGTCAAGCAAGGCTGAAATCTTCAGAAGACCCTTTATAGAAAACATCTACAAATAAGTCAAGCAAGGCTGAAATCTTCAGAAGACCCTTTATAGAAAACATCTACAAATAAGTCAAGCAAGGCTGAAATCTTCAGAAGACCCTTTATAGAAAACATCTACAAATAAGTCAAGCAAGGCTGAAATCTTACGAAGACCCTTTATAGAAAACATCTACAAATAAGTCAAGCAAGACTGAAATCTTACGAAGACCCTTTATAGAAAACATCTACAAATAAGTCAAGCAAGGCTGAAATCTTCAGAAGACCCTTTATAGAAAACATCTACAAATAAGTCAAGCAAGGCTGAAATCTTCAGAAGACCCTTTATAGAAAACATCTACAAATAAGTCGAGCAAGGCTGAAATCTTCAGAAGACCCTTTATAGAAAACATCTACAAATAAGTCAAGCAAGGCTGAAATCTTCAGAAGACCTTTTATAGAAAACATCTACAAATAAGTCAAGCAAGGCTGAAATCTTCAGAAGACCCTTTATAGAAAACATCTACAAATAAGTCAAGCAAGACTGAAATCTTCAGAAGACCCTTTATAGAAAACATCTACAAATAAGTCAAGCAAGGCTGAAATCTTACGAAGTCAAGCAAGGCTGAAATCTTCAGAAGACCCTTTATAGAAAACATCTACAAATAAGTCAAGCAAGGCTGAAATCTTCAGAAGACCCTTCATAGAAAACATCTACAAATAAGTCAAGCAAGGCTGAAATCTTACGAAGACCCTTTATAGAAAACATCTACAAATAAGTCAAGCAAGGCTGAAATCTTCAGAAGACCCTTTATAGAAAACATCTACAAATAAGTCAAGCAAGGCTGAAATCTTCAGAAGACCCTTTATAGAAAACATCTACAAATAAGTCAAGCAAGACTGAAATCTTCAGAAGACCCTTTATAGAAAACATCTACAAATAAGTCAAGCAAGACTGAAATCTTCAGAAGACCCTTTATAGAAAACATCTACAAATAAGTCAAGCAAGGCTGAAATCTTCAGAAGACCCTTTATAGAAAACATCTACAAATAAGTCAAGCAAGGCTGAAATCTTCAGAAGACCCTTTATAGAAAACATCTACAAATAAGTCAAGCAAGGCTGAAATCTTCAGAAGACCCTTTATAGAAAACATCTACAAATAAGTCAAGCAGACCCTTTATAGAAAACATCTACAAATAAGTCAAGCAAGGCTGAAATCTTCAGAAGACCCTTTATAGAAAACATCTACAAATAAGTCAAGCAAGGCTGAAATCTTCAGAAGACCCTTTATAGAAGTTATTGCCCTTAAATGATTTTAAATAAAGCTAACAAGTTGTAAGAAAATCTGTGAACTCGAGGACAGTTTCTGCTGTAAGCACATACTGCTTTTAATGTGAATGATTCTATTCTTCTTTTTAGCAGATTTCTGCTATTGTTTGTTATGATATATCTATTACAATTTCCTTATAACACACAGTCACTTGCATTCTGAGTTTTTTTTGTCTCAACTTGTCTGTCAGCAAAATCACCTTTGTTTTAGTTTTGTAGCTTCTGTTAATGCAGTGATAAAACTCCATAATGATATAAGCTTTACTCTTTCAGATATTCCAGAATCTGTAAGAAAAGGCTTGAAGATGTTTGGTTATGAAAGGTTTAGACATGGACAAGAGAAAGCGGTTTTGAGGATATTGTCAGGTTTGTGGGTTTATGATATGTTTTATCTCATGAACAATAGTAAAACTATACATAAAATTAAGGAGATATGGAATGATTGCTAATGAGACAACTATCCACAAGAGACCAAAAATTGATATGTAAACAACTGTAAGGCACTGTACAGTCTTCGGCAATGAGCTAACCATATAGTAATCTATAAAAGGCCCCCCTGCATGACAAAATTTAAACTATTCAAAAGAGAAAACCCAACAGCCTGATTTATGCTAAAACTAAATCTCATTTGATGAAAAGCAAGGCATGGCCAGTTCAAAAAAAATAAATATGGCAAGGGAAAAGTTATATTGTGGATATTTCCAGATATATTTTATTATGAAAAGTATAGACTTGAACATAGTTTAGCTGTATTTAGGATATTGTCAGGTAAGTTGGGGTGTAGATATACAGAAACTTTTGTAGGGAAAGATTTCATTGGATGCAAAAATATCACTGAAAATTACCCCTTATGGAATGTCTTGAAAACTCACATACTTGAACACACAAATTTGACAGAGCAGAGTGAAAGATCTGATTTTAATTGGATTGGGTTTATTCACACTGGTGACATTATCATTAGGAGAGTGAAAACATGATGTAACTCACAACCTCTGATAAGTCGAACCACAGATGAGTTGAATAGTTTTGTCAGGTTCCTTCGACTTTGACTTATCAAGGTTTGACTGTATTTTGCATTTGTATCGGGTTTATAAAACACATGGTTATATTATCAACAGGGTGAGGTCAAGCTTTGATCTATGATGATATATTAATATATTACACTTTTGTTTCAGGTTCATCCACAATGGTGATATTATCAACAGGGGGAGGTAAATCATTAACCTACCAGCTACCAGCAGTTCTGTATGCTGAGAAATCTACATGTTTTACACTTGTTATCTCACCACTTGTGTCTTTAATGGAAGATCAGGTCAGTATTTATTTATTTATGGATTATTACATAGTCTTTGTCATATCTACCCTGGCATTATCCTTAGATTTCCATATTGGACCAAGGGCTTCGCCCGAGGTCACAGTATTGATCGAGGGATTGAATAAAGCCAATTTATGTATTCATTATAACCCCTCAACCTAGTGGGGTGGTGGTGGTGGTAGAGGTTTATGTTTCACTCTGTCTTTCCATCTGACCTATGAATTCTTGTCACACTATTCCTCAGGAACTACAAATCCTCTTCCTGTTTACTGAATACTTACCATATTTTCTGCAGTATAACATGACATTTTTTTCCAGAAAGTTGACTGTTGTTTTATACTCTCGTTAGACTTATGTAAGACTTTTTCTGAAATCCTGTTACAAATTCTACAAAATACAAAATGTATCAGGTTAAAGTTTTGATTTTAGGTAGTTTTATCATGAAGTTGTGGTCACATAAACTTGAAACTTAACTCAGCTTTTAATGATGATGATGAGAACTTTTTAAAAATATATGACAAACTAGGATTTTGACCCAGACTGCATGGTTCACTGAATAGGGAAATGTGGTAATATGTTCGACACATATTTCTTGTTTGTCTGGGTTTTTGTCTCGCCTACTTGTTGGGAAAGCAAGACATATGGATTTTTCTGCTTAAATTAGTATGATATGAACTACTTGTGATGAAGTTGCATTACTATCAGTACATATCAGTTTAAACTACTTTGAGGCCCTGCCCCCTAGGTCATGGTTCAGCAACTTTGAATTAATTAGCAATTTTGAATCAAGTTTTCTGCTTAAGTTTGTTTGATAGGATTTACTTGTGATAGATCATTGATTTTTTTGTATAAAGTTGTATTACTATCAGTACAAATCAGTTTGACGACTATTTTGAGGCTGTGCCTCCTAGGTCATGGTTCAGCAACTTTGAATTAATTCGCAACTTTTATGCCCCACTTAGGGGCATTATGTTTTTGGGTCTGTGCGTCTGTTCGTCCGTCAGTCTGTTCATTCATATGTCCCTCTTCTGGTCGTTTTTGGTCGCTTCAGATTAAAGTTTTTGGTCAAGGTAGTTTTTGATGAAGTTGAAGTCCAATCAACTTGAAACTTAGTACACATGTTCACTATGATATGATCTTTCTAATTTTAATGCCAAATTAGAGTTTTGACCCCAATTTCACTGTCCTTTGAACATAGAAAATGATAGTGCCAGTGTTGGCATCCGTGTACTATGGACACATTCTTGATAATGTTAAGTTTTCTGCGCAAGTTAATTAGATAGGGACAATTTGTGATAGATCAATGATATTTTGTACGAAGTTGCATTACTATCAGTACATATCAGTTTGAAGACTATTTCTAGGTCCTGCCCCTAGGCCATGGTCCAGTGACTTTGAATTAATTAGCAATGTTGCTGTCCATCAGATTGTCTTTTTCTGAATTTTATGCCTACAGGGGAGACATATCTCTGCGTCAACAGTTTATTTTTATGTAGGGCATCAACAGTTGTCTTTTAATTTAACTGTACAAATACATTTTATATATGTGACAAGTAATTTACTTCTCTATAATAACAAAAAAGAAGTCTTGTAAGTCTCATACTGTTCTACATTGTTGATTTTTCATTTTTGTTGAGCCTGCGACAATTGGCGCAAAAGCGAGACATAGCTATCCTACATTCCGGCGGCGGCGGCGGCGGCGTCCACAAATATTCACTCTGTGGTTAAAGTTTTTCAAATTTTAATAACTTTCTTAAACTATCCTGGATTTGTACCATACTTGGACATAAGCTTGTTTATGATCATAAGATAGTATTCAAAAGTAAATTTTGTTAAAAAAAAATCTTGTTTATCCGTATTTTACTCATAAATGGACTTAGTTTTTCTGCCAGTTAACATTACATTCACTCTGTGGTTAAAGTTTTAAAAATTTTAATAACTTTCTTAATCTATCCTGGATTTGTTCCAAACTTGGACAGAAGCTTGTTTATGACCAAAAGCTAGTATCTAGAAGGAAATTTTGTAAAAAAAAATTTCTTGTTTTTCTGTATATTACTTATAAATGGACTTAGTTTTTCTTCCAGTTAACATTACATACCGTTTTTAAAACATTTATTAGATTCATAAACCATCCTGGATTCTTACCAAACTTGAACAGAAGCTTCTTACAATCAAAAGATAGCATCTAGATGAAAATTTTTAACAATTATTTCCCCATTTTTGTTGAGCCTGCGACTAACAGCAAAAGTAGGCGAGACACTGGGTTCCGCGGAACCCTTACAATTTTTTTTTAATTACTTCATAAAATAGTTGTTTCATCTTGCCTTTAGTTCTTTCAGACCAAACAGCTTTGTTCAATAGGATTATTAAATAAATATAAATGAAGAAGTTCATATAGGTTGTTTTTATCTTGCCTGTGACGAAGGTCGCAGAATGTGTGACATAAAGATTATTATCCGGTGGTGGCAACAGTGTAAATTAAATATAAATGAAGAAGTTCTTATAGGTTGTTTTTGTCTTGCCTGTGACAAAGGTCGCAGAATGTGTGACATAAGGATTACAATACGGTGGCAGCAACAGCGTAAATTATTTGTTGCTTCATACTTTTGTGTACAGATACTGTATGCTATGAAGTTTTCGTCTGTCATATGTCAATTGCCCTTGAGCTCATTTTCATGGTTCAGTGACCGCTTGAAAAAAAATTATAGTTTTTTTGGCATGTGAAATACTCACTTATTATGAGTAATAGGATAACTATATTTTAATAATATATGGGATCCTTTCAAAGACTAAATGTCTGTCAGACAGGGTTTGAGCTCAACCTCACTTCATTGATCAGTGATCAAGGTTAAGTTTTCATGGTCAAGTCTGTATCTCAGATACTTTAAGCTATAGATGCACTATATTTGGTGTATGGAATGATGGAAGGTGTACATGTCTGTCTGGTAGGGTTTATATGACCAATGCCTTATTTTCATGGCCAAGTGTTGTTACTTTGAAGCCGATCCATCATCCAAAATGGCCGCCAGTGGGGGACTTCATTTAACATAGGACCCTATGGACAATACATTGTACAAATGTCTTCATTTAGAGAACCACTGAATGGAATGAAACCAAACATGGAATGAATGTTCCTTATGAGGTGCTGACCAAGAGTTGTTACTTTGAAACCAATCCATCATCCAAGATGGCCACCACAGAGGGACTTAGTTTAACATAGGATCGTATGGGAAATACATACAAATTTCTTCTTTTAGAGAACCACTGAATGGAATGAAATAAAACATGGAATGAATGTTCCTTATGAGGTTCTGACCAACTGTTGTAACTTTGTAGGCGATCCATCATCCAAGATGGCTGCCAGCGTGGGACTAGTTTAACAATACATACAAAAGTCTTCTTTTAGAGAACCACTGAATGGAATGATACCAATTGTTCCTTATGAGGTGCGGACCAAGTGTTGTAACTTCATCCAAGATGGTTGGCAGCAGGGGACTTCGTTTAACATAGGACCCTATGGGAAATACATACAAATGTTTTCTTTTAGAGAACCACTGAATGGAATGAAACCAAACATGGCATGAATGTTCCTTATGAGGTGCTGACCAAGTGTTGTAACTTTGTAAGCGATCCATCATCCAAGATGGCTGCCAGCGGGGGACTTCGTTTAACATTGGACCCTATGGGAAATACATACAAATGTTTTCTTTTAGAGAACCACTGAATGGAATGAAACCAAACATGGCATTAATGTTCCTAATGAGGTGCTGGCCAAGTGTTGTTACTTTGTAGCAAATCTATCAACCAAGATGGCTGCCAGTGGGAGACTTAGTTGAACAAAGGACCCTTTGGACAATATATACATACAAATGTCTTCTTTTAGAGAACCACTGAATTCAATGAAACCAAACATGGCTTGAATGTTCCTTATGAGGTGCTGACCAAGTGTTGTTACTTTGTAGCCAATCAATTATCCAAGATGGCTGCCAACGTGGAACTTAGTTTAACAAAGGACCCTACGTGAAGTACATACAAAAGTCTGCTTTTGAAGAACCACTGAATGTAATGAAACCAAACATGGCATGAATGTTCCTTATGAGGTGCTGACCAAGTGTTGTTACCTTGTAGCAAATCTATCAACCAAGATGGCTGCCAACGGGGGACTTAGTTTATCAAAGGACCCTATGGGAAATATATACAAATGTCCTCTTCTAGAAAACCGCTTAATGGATTGAAATCAAACATGGTATGAATGTTTCTTTTGAGGTGCTGACCAAGTGTTGTTACTTTGTAGCTGATTTGTCATCCAAGATAGCTGCCAGCAGGGGTAGTAAGTTTAACATAGGACCCATTGGGAAATACATACAAATGTTTTCTTCTAGAGAACCACTGAATGGAATGAAACCAAACATGGCATGAATGTTCCTACTGATGTGATGACCAAGTGTTGTTACTTTGTAGCTGATTTGTCATCCAAGATAGCTGCCAGCAGGGGACTAAGTTTAACATAAGACCCTATGGGGAATACATACAAATGCTTCTTCTAGAGGAGCACTGAATGGAATGAAACCAAACAGGAAATGAATGTTCCTTATTAGGTGCTGATGAAGACCTTGATACATGTATCTTTATAGAATGAGATATACTGTAAACTGCAAAAATATCAAGAAAAGAAGATCCACACATATGTCAACATGAGCATAATTGTCAATTGACGTCTTGTTGGAGTTATTGTCCTTATAAAGTCATTTTCTACAATTTTAATGAATTTATTGGTAATTTCTGTAAACTTTATAAAAGTCTTCTGTTTATGATTAAATTATGGGGCCAATATTAAACAAAATTTGGCCTCAATCATTATTAGGGTATCTGTTATGATTTTAATCTATTCTTACCTGCCAACCCTGCTGTTTTTAGCGGGAGTCTCCCGCTCAAATGACGAAATTCTGGAAATCTCCTGTTTGTCTGTCCGCTCCCGCGCGGGAGTATAGAATCTCCCGCTTTCGGACATTTTGACCTGGAATAACCTGCGTTCGTAATTCTCTGACTTTTTCATTACTTTCAATAGAAATAAATAAACAATCGGCAATCATTTGAAAACTTTGGTCAGTAGTTTTTATGTTCGATATATAAGTAATCGAAATTCAGTTCTGCTATGTCAACTCCAACAAGATAGAGGTCTTTGTCTGGACCAAGCGGTAGTGTAAAAAAGAAGAAATAGATAACTGCAAATCGAAATGTCAAGCAGATTATTTGAATGAAAGATTTTCTTTACGACCAAGTTCACTTGGCAATGAATCTTTTTGCACATCATGTTCAATCAACTTTTCGATTTCCTTCTGGTGGTCTGTACGATGTTTGAAAACATGCTTAGTGTGAGACTCACAACAAAATCAAAATATGGAATTTTATAAGTTATGAGACTCGGAGGTATTGAAAAAGGCTTAAAAAGCCCGCCTTGTATAGATCATAACCATGAATTGAAGAAATAAAGTATATATATTAACTCTTATTGGTGTTTTGTAGATGAATATGTAAACAGGTCATATATTCAACTTGAAAATGTCGTTCGCGCAAAATCTCCCCCTCAGCTGTCATAGCTGAGGGGGAGATCTCCCTCTTTGAAGGTTTCAGAGGTTGGCAGGTATGATCTATTTTTACATGATTTGGAAAACCAAAGTAGAATCAGGAGAGCGACACAGGCTCTTGAGAGTCTCTAGTTTGTTTGATCCTCTCTTCAACAATTGTATTAGATTTTGGATATCATACCTGTCAACTGACCTGTATTCTGCGGTGACACTCGTAAATTTCACCTCTCAACCAGGATTTTTTAAATACCTGCCTGGTCATTAAATAAACTGGGAATTCAGAAAATGACCCATTTTCACCCTTTTCAAGTATAAAATGATAGATTTCATAAGTGATCTTTCTTTGAAATACTGGCAAATTCGTAATTCTTCCTGGACAGGAAGTTCAACTAGCTGTGTTAACTGTCAAATTAAGTGACCCATTAAGTGCATGATTCATTTGACAGCTTTGATGTTTGACACACTGTTAATTAACTCCAATTACCTTAGCTCAAGGTCATAAATAATTTGTGTATTTCAAAGTTGTTTGACTAAAAAATTCGAGTTAATCCCCCTTTTCTGCCACTTTTCACAGTATACTCCTAAAATTAATGGTTTTTTTTTTGCAAAAAGATTAAATTTAAGGCAAATTGAATGCAAATACATATCAGAATATTACTTAAATGTTTTTTTCTATTTTAAAACAATTATAAATTTAATATTTTGAAAATTATTTATTCCACCTCTACTTCCTTTAAAATGCTGAAATTTTAAATCATATATTCTGATATCAACAACCTGCTTAAGGAACCAACTGTGCAAGACCCTCATGGTTAGTCAAGGTTGTTAAAAATCACCTTGCTTAAGGAATATTAACTAAAGCTGTATAGTGATGCTGTATAGCCTTATCATACAATAAAACTTAAAGGCTTGTGTGTTGATTGAAAACTGTGAATAAAAACAATAACAGGGGTTATGGCTTGGCTTCAATTGATACAGTATAATATATTAATATTTCAATGGTTTATAAATACAATGAAAAAATAAAATTAAAGTTTTAAATTATTTTCAGTTAATACTTAACAATGTGAACATGTTTTGGAAACTGTTCGATTTAAAATATAAAAAAATGTCCCCTAAATACTTAAATTCAACTGAAAAAAGTTTGTACACGTTATGACCTGAGATTTTCTTCTTCAATGCAGGTCATGCCCTTCATTTTCATAGGTTGACAGGTATGGGATATTCCAATATATTTTGGCCTCGTAGCATCACTGAAGAGACATTATTTGTCGAAATGCACTTCTGGTGCATCAAAATTGATACCATATATGTTATTATCAGATACTTAATGAAATAGGTCAACTATATTTGGTTATGGAATGATTGTAAGGTGTATATGTCTGTCTGGCAGGGTTCATTTGACCTTCACCTCATTTTCATGGTTCATTGGTCAATATTAAGTTTTTGTGGTTTGGTTTGTTTCTCAGATACTATTAGCAATAGGGCCACTGTTGTTTTTCTCTTATTCTTCAAAGTAGATAAAATATGCCTTGTATAGAATTCTACAATTCTGGTATCAAGCAAGTGATATAATTCACTGTATTGTTTAATTATTTACCAGAATTGTATAATTTTTTGTAACTAGTATTGTACTTCCTATTTATATGCCATCCATCATAAACATCACCTATTTAGTTAGGCAAATATTTTTATTTACTAAAAAGTGTGTAAAGATTTTAAAAGAAGTACTGCCAAAATATTCAGGTGTAGTAATTTTCAAAGAAGTACTGCCAAAATTTCTATGCATTCCGTAATTGACAATGTCTTGACAACACCCATTGTATGACATCAGAGGAGTAAAATTATCAGATTTATTTTCACATTTGAAATGATCTGTTTTAAGTTAACTGGGAAATCACTGTATTTTATGCAACCAATGTAACAATAGAAAATAATGATAAAAATATTATTATATCCATTGTTAATATTTTCAGATCACAGGACTACCCCCAGGAGTGAAAGGTGCATGTCTCCATACCAATATGACCAAGGCCCAACGTGAATCTGTAATGGACTCTGTGAAGGAAGGCAAGGTCCACTTCCTTTTGGTATCACCTGAGGCTATAGCTGGAGGAACAATGTCTGCCTTAACATCTGCTGCTAATCTTCCTCCTATATCTTTTGTCTGTATTGATGAAGCCCATTGTCTGTCAGAGTGGTCGCACAACTTTAGGCCATCCTATCTAAGGTTAACAAAGGTAAAGTTCTACAATTTTGAATAATCATTATAATATGTTGTTTGCTTATTTTTTTTACGAGAAAGTGCAGTTACATTAAGAATATTATTAAAAAGGTGAGAATTTGCAACAGTTATGAATTTGCTATCAATAAACTCACAAGAAAGTGCACATTTCCTAATAATGTTTCTAAAAATAGAAATAAAATGTTTAGTTTATGAGATTTAATCCAAATTAAAAAAAAAAATGGGCAGTGGTTCCCCAGACCTTAGCTAACTTAAAGTCGTGGAGCAAAAATGAGGACTGCTGTTTCTGTTGTAAGTACATGTATGAGGTCAGTTTTTAAGGAACCACTATGGTAAGTCAATGATATCTGGTATGCAGTTGTATTTATTGCAAATCTCATTTTACATGGAAATAATATTTAGTTATAAGCAGTCTATTTGGCCCAAATTTGTTAAAATAAGATAAAGAACATTGTGATGTGTTATTAACTTGTGAGTCAATAATTTGACCTCATGTGAATCTTTATTCATATGACCTCCAATTTAACCTTTTAGCCGGAGATGTGTTACGCATGTACTAGGCGTTGTCAGCTATTAAAAGGAAAAGAATGTCAAAATTGAAAGTAAAACAAGGGTGATCCATTTCTTTGACTGATTCGATCTTCAAAAAATCTTTCTTATACATGTACAGGTATAAAGTTGATTAACATATTTTTTTAACCTATATCATGAAATCAAACAGACCTAGAAAAATCCAATTGCATGTGCTCTCTATCTATTTATATTTATGCTTATATAAGGTTATATGACTGTCTGCAGTCTTCAGAGGTCAACTCCATGGTTAATTGGATGGCATATCGACTACAATGCACACAAAATGTTGATATATATTATCGAGTTCATGCATTGTTAATTGTTTATTTTAGACTTTTTGTAATTTGGATATAGGTTTAGGTATATTATTAATGAACTATGAAAATTTGAGTGAAATTGGTGAACATGAATTTGATAACTAATGCCCTTTTAAACTGTCAGTAATTGAATACATTGAAGTCATCACTAGATCAACTTCATTTACCTAGTCATCCATAAGAATTTGCCAGAGAAATATTTTTATGGAGTTTTCAATATTATAGGGAGATAAGCCTTTGAAGAGTTTTCAAGTTATGTTTTTAGTGGGGGGAAAAAATTAACTCAGTAACAGTGGATTATTTTGTTTTGCAAAAGAGAAAAAGTATAGACTAAAACTGGAAATCTGGTATGTTGATGGTTCATACAGTTGATAGTTGGCATACCTGATATATTATGTTCATGTCAGGTTTTGTTTGCGGTTCTGGCCTTAGATCCGGCTGTTAAATCTGCTCTGTGTTTCATGACTTTGTAAAATGCATTTAAATGAACAGTAAATTGTTTGTGTAGGGTAAATTTCAAGGAAAAATGTCAACCACAAAAATTAGACACACATGAAATTTCCCCGACATCCAGTATTTCTCTTTACTTGGTTTGAAATATGAGTTCTCCTCTACTTGTTCAAAATATCATGTGCGGCTAATGTCTCATAGCTAAATGTATAGTTTTTTAGAAATTTTTTCTCCCTTATTGGTTGTTTCTTGTAAAAGAACATATTTTTCCCAGTTTATTTAGAATGTCATGGTCAATCATGTCAATAGCACATGAATTTTTGACCTCAAACCTTTGACCAATAAGGGGAAAATAGAGCTATTCATACATATGTCTGATAAACAAAATTAGATCAGTATATTTAGAGAATTTTCATTAGTGGAATGAACTTGATATTTATAGATTTAATTACATCTGTACTTTATAAACTAAAATGAATAAATATGACACTTTCTCCAATCCTCGTCAGGCTATTGACAGTTTGGAGAGGAGAATGTTGTAAATTACAAGGTTTATATCTGCTAGCTAGAGGATATTTGAATGGCGTTGATTTAATATTTCTTTTCTATTTACTGTTATTTATTGACTCTTTATTGAAAGTTTAGCACTTGATTAATTACAGAAAGAAGTAATATTACAACAAGGATCTAGGGTTGAATTAGTCGTCATTTTACCTGAAATGTTTATCACTAACTGGTACAAATATTTTTTCTAATTCTAGTAACATTTTTTGCTTCAAAAAAAGAACGAATTGTTGGTTTATATGAACAATATTATTTTGTATTGTTTTAAGATATTCTGATGCCTGTTGTTGATTTCATGGTGGTTGGCAACTGACTTTTCTTTGAATTGGAAAAAACAGTGTATTTGTCTTTCATTCCAAAAACAAGTTTCCTTGACTACATTTTTTTTATCATGCCTCAATTAAATAGTTGTAGTTATTTCACGAATCAGTAAATTTTAATATGAAAGAATTATGTCTTTTAAAATTAATATTTGCACCTTTTTTTTTATAGTGACTACATATTTTAGCTGATTTTTTGTTGTGTTGTGTTGTACTATAATCTTGAGCTATCTAGCCCAAATAAAAAGAAGAGATGTTTGGTATCCATAGAGGATACAGCAACCCAACGTCACAAATAAACTAAAATCATCTAGAGGGTAACATACAGTCTTTCATGAGTGTTATCATACTTTCAATGGAATAATGACACTTGGTTTACATTTCATTTACTCTGTTATGGTGGCATTCATATTTACCAGTATACATGTATATAGTTTTTTTGTAATTGTGAAATCTGAGACCTTCTTTAAAAGTATTGAAATATCATGTGGTATTCCAGATAATAAGTGCAACCCCTTAATTTTTCTATTTTGAAATTAATGGAAATGTTATCTGCAATAAAACAGTCTTTCAAGACATTCATGCAGGTAAGCTGCTAACTTTACCTCCCCAATATTTTGATCTTATAAATCCATATTCTGCATAGCCAACAACATTATACTAGAAATAAAGTTTTCTTGTTTTGTACAAAAGGATGGTGAGGATGAGACTGATTTCCTTTTGAAATAAAAAAAAGTCCATCATGAAATAATACTTTGACTTCAGAATGCAACGTCAATCTGTCAATTAATTCTACCATTGGGGAATTAGTTCTAGCTGGGTTAAGGTTTAATCAAATTAGTCTTGCTATTGTTGGAGAAAGAAGAAATATATATACATTAATTTACATGAAAATAGATTACTCTGTAGGTTTTGAATCAGAAAATTGATATTAGATGTTTTTGCTGTGCTCTTTTATTATCTTGGAAACGATGACATGCTAGGTGGTTGGAAAATGCATAAATTGGTTGGTTTACATTATCAGTCCTCAAAAAGGTTTTATGAGATTGTTAGAATCTAATCTCCTGTTTAATAGGATTAAAACTTTATATTCCTTAGAACTACAGAAATATTTATTATAGCAAAAGCCATTTTAAGATAATCCTTACAAATTTGAAATGAATAAGCAATCCCTTTAAAAAAAATATATTTCTTTTAAATGCCAGGATATATATGTTAGTCATTAAACTTGAGAGGTTTCCATTCTAACTCTTTCTTATTGATGAGTTACAAGATTTTGAACTCTTTGAACTATACTTTTTAATTTTTTTTGTAATAAGGCCCACAAATAATTAGGTTAATATGTATTGATACATGTAGGATAACACAATCTAATTAAAATTAAATCTCCGCACTCGTTCATTTTTTTATTCTGAGCGAGTGCGGAGATTTAATTTTAATTAGATTGAGGATTACATATCTTATATTAAAAATGGAAATGAACCCATTTATTTGGTCGTCATTTCAGAATCATTTCTCTGAGACATTTATGTGCACAAATGGTTGAGGGCTTTCTTTGGCCCTTGGTCCAGTTTATGTTTAACAGTCCCCAAGCTTTGCAAAGCTTTCATCAGAATTGAGACAAACATTGGCTTTTTTTTATACTTTTTAGAGATTGCAAAATGTCATGTCTTAGGCCATAATTCCAAATGTTGTAATCAGAAGTTGCTGGTGTTTTAATCAGAAAATCAGTACCAGTACTGTAAATGCAGAATTAAATGTGTTATTTGATTATAGCTTATATTCTACAACTTATAGTTACAGCAATAACGTAATATGAAGAAAAGGAGATGTCGGGTATACATCAATGAGAGAATAACAGCACATAAAACTAAAAGACATCTAGAGCATATGGTCTTCATTGATAGATAAGTGTCTTTTCGATATGTTGAGCTCTAAATCCCTTCATTCAAGTTTAGTTGTAAATGAATTTAACAGAGCCTGTCAAAGATATTGTTTAGTTTAATAAAGACAAAATACCTTTCTTATGGAAAATTCTGTGATGTGTCCTATCAGGCAAAAATTAATTGTCATTCCAGAGTTATGGAACTTTATTCGAGAAACTATTTACAGCTTTTGGTGTTTATTTCCCAGTGTCCAGTTTTTTCACCTAATCCAATGACATTTTAAAACAATTTACAACCAATCAAAGCTGTCTCTCTTTCAAAAATTTTAATATTTTAAGATTTGTTGTTGTAAAGTATATATGTAATAAGTAGGAATCAGGAACAAGCAAAGTTGGTTTTTATAAATCTTCTCCATAAAATACAAATAATATTCTTGTATATCAAACTTACATTAAAGTCATCTTGGCTAGCCAAGGGTTACGATCCACTTCCCTCCTCTCCACCCTTGGCAGATTAAGCCAACATTTGTGATAACAATGTTGCCCCATCTATCGGTAGATTAAAGTCACGCCAATTCCGAATACATTATTCTTGACCAATGGTAGCCTGGCATCCTGACCCAATTTAATACTTCGTCAATAGGTACTGTCAAGCAGTTGGCCAGGATCCCAGGCTAGACCAATGGTAGCACTTGAACTCTTCAATCTGGAGGTAAAAACACGGTAGCGTCTAGATTCTACACACTTGGTAAAGCAGGAAACGAAAATATACGTTGACATTCATGCATTTGTGCAAGAAACATACACAGGAACTTCTATTAGTTGATTAAAAACATTCAAATTGTCACTAAATATAGTCGTATGTTTAGGGATGTAAAGACTTGTT